ACAGAATCTTCTTGAAAATGTAAATATAGACATGACTTTGGTATCTCTAGAAATACTGCTTTATTACTCAAGATTGAATGTACACAGAAGAGAAGGCACCTGAGCAGTTATTTTTCCTGCATCATATAGGTCAGTGTACGAAATCCTGTTCCTAGAATAACCAGTCAGCGCTTGGCTGCATGTCTTTTCTTGCTAAGCCTACTATTCTTTTCAGCTATTGCACAATTTTATGTATTCTTGGCTATCCCTTTCCATAATATATTATGCAATTTGTTGGAAACTAATTATGGTGCAGTTTCACAGATCTATTTATCTGTGTTTCTGTTTAATTTTCTGCCCACATGTGCCATGAGTAATAAATTATGACTAATATAAATAAATCTCAAGTCCTAGTTAATCTCAGAAATGTAGAATACCTTAAGAATTAGGTCATCTCTTTTAAATGATACCATCTTTTATAATGCTGACAAATTAGTCAAGGGATTTTCTTGTAGTTATTAGCTATCTAAATGGACACCACAAGATAGACCAAATTATACCACTTGTTTAATTCAGATTCATGTATTTGTAGCATTTGTGATTATATTTTAAGGAAAAGACTCATGTGGATGAAAGGGTGTTTTCAGGACTGCTTATCTCTTGTCCTAAGTGATGTTTCCTGGTCTGCTACCACTGCTCAGAGTTCTTTCCTGGATGTTTGTTGTTGTTGTTCAGTTGTTTCAGTAGCGTCCAACTCTTTGTGATGCCATTTGGAGTTTTCTTGGCAAAGATACGGGAGTGGTTTGCCATTTCCTTCTCCAGTTCATTTTACAGATGAGGAAACTGAGGTGAAGGGACTTGCCCAGGGGCACACAGCTAGTAAGTGTCTGAGGTCACATTTGAACTCGGGTCTCCCTGACTTCAGGCCTCTAGCATTCTATCCACAGTGCCACCTAGCTGCTCCTATTTGATATTGCCCAAAGAATAAAGTTCAAATAACAGCCTGATAATCAAGGTGTTCAATAATTTGTCATCATATCTTTGCAACTCTGCTCTCTTTTGAAAACTCTATGCTACAGCCAGACAATTCCTAGAGAACACATTTTACACTCTCCTGTCTCTTTGCCTTTACTTTCAATGTTTAATTGAGAATTTGCACCTAATTTGCACCTGTGCCACCAAGGTAGACATATTTTTTTTTTCTGCCTTGGAATTGTCAAAGGATTTTAGGCCTGACATTTTCCCCTCTATATTTTGCGCTGATGGTTTACTTATGTATATGCCAATATTGAATTGTATTTGCCAGAGCAGTGAATGTGGAATTAGATGACTTGGTTTCCAATCCCACCGCTATCACTGTGTGACCTTGGGGAAGTTACTTAACTCCTTTTGTTCTCTTTTCCTCATCTGTAAAATGAGAGGGTGGCCCAGATGACCTTTCAGGTCCCTTTCAGCTTAGTTTCTATGGTTAGATAATTTACCTACTAGCTTGTGAGCTTCCTCATCACTTTCCTTAATATTTTGCACATGGAGGCACATTCTAATGCTTGTTGAATGAATGATTGACCTCAAATATAGTTCAAATAAAAAAAGGGCTGTAGTTATGTATCCATAAGTGCATGAGCCAGTGGAAATACCATTGGGTTTATAGCAACAATCTGAATTTTGCGAAGTCATTTAACTCTTTTTTGAGGCTTAGTTTTCTCATTTAGAAAATGAAAGGTATGACCTAGATAATTTCTAAGATCCCTTCCAGCTTTAAATCCTATAATCCAGTGTGCTATACAAAATGTATCAGAGATCCCCAGTGGGAGGGAGAGTGTTGTCATGTTAGAACACCTACCCTGTGTGTAGCTTTAGGACATCCATTGGAGAGGACCCCAGGGAGTTAGAAGTAAGGCCCAGAACCTTTTAGCATTTCAAATGTCCATCAACTAGAGGAATAGGACATAATTAAAAAACATCAAGCACTTCTTATGTGTCAGGTAGGCTGAGCACTGCGGATACAAAGAAAGGCAAAAATACTCCCCTACTTCAAGAAGTTCTCATTCTAATGGGGGGTGTAGAGAGGAAGTAACACAGAGGTAGCTGCTGCACTTCTTTCCCTGTGTCCCGTAGACATTTCTGGAAGGAAGGGGAATCTGGTCAGAAGTTGGAAGGGTAGGAATGCCGATGACTATTGCCTCTTTCCTCCTCCCCCATTTTGGTTGTTCAGTTGTGTTCAACTCTTTGTGAGTTGGGATTTTCTTAGCAAAGATACTAAGTGGTTTGCCATTTCCTTCTGCAGTTCATGTTACAGATGAAGAAACTGAGGCAAACAGGGTTAAATGACTTGCCCAGGGTCACACAACTAGTGAGTGTCTGATGCTGGATTTGAATTCAGGAAGATGAGTTGGCCTGACTCCAGTCTGAGCACTCTATCCACTGTACCACCTAGCTGCTCCCCAACTTGTTACTTTCTCAGAGGAATTCCTCACAGACATTCCTTCTTTCATACCAACCTCACAGTTCCTGTCACCAGTCCCACCTGTCTCCCTTAGACACACTTTCCTGTCAACAAATACACACCCTTTACCACACCTTCATTCCCACCGATTAAGAGGCTTCACTTGAGTAGTAGAGTAATTCCTGGAGTAATAAGATACCAGTGGGTAGTGTGCCTGTTGGCCTCTTTTCCATTGGTGAGTTGGAACTTCGGTTTTGGAGAAGTCCCGGGATCAGCCTTCCCTGATTCTCCAAAATTAGCCATAGTGCCCTACGCTGGGCTGTGTAACCCTTGGTAAATGACTTCATGTCCCAGTCATCCGTCTAAGGAGTTTTTAATACTGGGAGTTCCCAAAAATCAGCAGCCCCAACAACCCTTCTCCACCCCCCCCAAAAAATTATTCATATAGTAGTTCTCATTAATATTCAAACTGCCATAATGCATTTAAAGTAAGGCTTGATTTTTAAAAAAAATTATTTATATGCAACTCTTCATGGACAAATCAATTCCATAAAATGAAGTGCACCTTTATATTGGCTAAGTAAGGTTCATATATATGAGATAGTTTGATCAGCAGAATATGATCAATTTGCTTTAAAAATATAGTTCTTCCTTTTTTCGATAAAACACTTAAAGTTGCTAATGCTTTCTGTTTAAAAAAACTGATAAGAGATTAATTATAGCAATAATAGCTCCCGTCTTTCTTCTTGCAAATTAAAACATTCATTGTTTTTCCTTATTGCAGAGAAGCTCATAAGTCCTGGGAGCTTTCCTGTCATTGTTGATGTATTCTTGCTTAGTTTTACTGTTGTTATTCTAGTGTAAAACAAAGCATCCTTGGATTTTATGGCAGCAATTTCCCCAATTGCCCAGACCAAGGAAACTGAGTTTTAAAAGATGAGCAGTGGCCCAAGGCTAAGGTTTCAGCTGTTGTAAGTACCGTAGTGCATAGTCTTAATGAAAACCAGGGGCAAATACTGGCATCTAAAAAGTTACTGTTGGATATAGTCTGTTGAGCTAACTACACTCTTTTAATGTTGTATATATATCTGGCTTTCCCCTTATTTGTTCTTTTTAAGTTCATTGCTCAGTCACCACATAGGAGTCACAACAGTTATTTTTGCAGAGTTGCTGTTGTACTGGTTTTGGACTGGTGGTAGTAGCCAACATATATCTAGTCAAGTAAGCTGACAAATGTTATCTCTTAGGAATAATCCTGTGAGGGTATCATTCACATGTTAACAGATGAGGAAATGTTTTAAGAAGAATTGTATCTGCGTCTCCAATACTCATATTAACTAAATCTTGTTTTATATGCCTACCACTGACACTTTGTGTGACTTATTCAAATGATTTCACTTCTCTGGGCCTCAATTTCCTCATCTGCAAAATGAGGACATTAGGTTGGATGGTTTCTAAGGCTTTTTTTCCAATTCTGAAGTTCTGTGATTCTACAAAGTGGCTCTATAGAAGAGTAGAAAATTGGACCCTGGATAACCTCCATTTTGACACCCCTCTACTTGGTGAAACACAAAGATATTGTGTAAAAATAAATATTTAAAATTACTGTTTTATAAATGTTAATGGTAATTCATGGTTTTAATATTAGCTGTAATGCTTTCCAGTGTTCTGATTTGTGTTAACCTCTTGAAAGCTGTTAATAAAATACTCTCTACACATTCTTATTTGAGACTCTCACCAACTCTGTGGTGTAGGTACTGTAGGTATTTTAGTATTATCTACCTTTTTCTATAGCATTTCAAGGTTTGTAAATATTATCTCATTTCTTCCTCACAGCCACCTTGGGAGGCAGATGCTATTATTATCACCATTTTACAGATGAGGGAGCTGAAGCAGATAGAGGTTATTGATACATCCAGGGTCACATAGCTAGTGTGTTGGAGTGTTGGAGGCTAGATTTGAATTCAGGTCTTTCTGACTCCAGGTCCAACACTATCTGCTTCGTAACCCAGCTGTCTACAGAATTGAGAAAACTGAGGCTCTGTGATTTCATTGGTATAGGGAACAGTCATAATGTGAGAACTCTATCCACTGATGCAAATTGGCAACTCATGTGCAACGTTATAGGTTTAGTTGCCTGGGAGATTGGGAAGTTAAGTGAATTGTCCACAGTCCTCTAGCTAGTAAATGGATTTTGAAGCCCCTTTCTGATTCTCACATCAGCCATTCTATCCACTACACTATGTCGCCTCTCAAGCAAATGGTGTTTCATCCATTACATTCTGAGGTCAACACTAACTATAAATAAATAAAACGAGTCAGTTTTACACAGTTATTTGAAGAGTATATAAACACAACTGATTTAGATCACTAGTTTCTGAATCTAAGATATGTTAGCCTTTGATTTTCTTTTAATTCTTTTGTGTGTTATGTCTACTGAGAAGAAAGCTAGCATGAAGCTGCTCTTGCATTGTCAGTGTGCTTTATACAGAATAGGTTCTTAATATAGTTGCTGAGTGAATGAGTTTTCTTTTGTGCATTTGCCCTGTTCACTTTGTTTCTTTTCTTTTTTCAGATTACTTACTTCAGCCTGTGGTATTACAACAAGCAAAATCAGCGCCGGTGGGTAGATTTGGACAAGCCTTTGAAAAAGCAGTTAGACAAGTATGCATTGGAACCTACTGTCTATTTTGGGGTGGTCTTTTATGTGCCCGTAGTTTCCCAGCTTCAGCAGGAAATTACCAGGTGAGAAGAGCATGTCTGATTTTTTTTCAGTTTGCCTTTTAAGTAAGCTGGTAGGATAAAGAACTAAAAAGAATCTTAAAATTAAGATTGAACCAGGGCATTCAAAGACCAAAATTTCATCCTAACACACCCAGCATATAGATAGAGTGTTACAGGCAAATTCTGTTATGAGGCTATCTCAATGCTGTGTCAATTATTAACTTTTCCTAGGCGTAAAGGAAAAATTGAACAAAGGAGAAATTGTTTTTGCTCTAGATATGTCTCACTGTTAGAGGGATGCCAGTCATAATTTTTACATGAAGCAGAACTTTTTCTCTGTGCACTTTAATAATGGTATGGAAACAGGAGAGGTTTTTCAAAATCCACAAACTTCGTCACCAAATCAGTTAAGCCCCGCTTACTGCTCATTCCTCAGGGTAAAGCATGAAAGGACTTATGGCTCTGGTTTCCTTGGTGACTTGCTAGTTCTTGTAGGAGTTTTAAGGACAAGGAAGATTTTGTGAAAAGCTTGAATAGGTAAAGGAAACTTAGAGGGGCGAGGTATGAAGGAGTAAAGGAGGGCTTGTTGTAAAAGAACTGCAGCCGGGATTATCAACTTTTTACTATGGAGAAAAAAAGAGAAGAACAAAGAAGTATGTTGAGGGGTATAGGTCTTAGGGATTTTGAGGTTAAAAAATGGACAAGGTATCTTCAGAGTGAAAGAAAATTGTCAGAAGGGACACAATAAAAAATGCAGCATCTCAAACTATTATTGTAAAACATGACCTCCAATATGGTCCAGCTGAATTTAAGCTTCTTAATTTAAATTAGATCCCCACTCTTTGTTTAGAAAAAGCACGTTTTTTTTTTTCAAGGGCCACTTCTGTTACTGCAGTTTTCTAGTTTCACTGTGTGGCTTGCAGGACAACATGAAACACATGTAAGTATACATATATCTGTGTATACAACCACACATATACCATGCACATGTTAAAGATAATATTACCCTTTGAATGTATGAATGAATATGTTGGTTGATTGTCCTTTGTTCTTGAAGAAGACCAAAATGACATCACTATGTTGGGGTCAAGGTACAGTGTGTCTGACTGTGGCTGAGCAGACCAGTATGAGCTTGGAAGGCTTTACCACTGGTCAGGCACAAATAGTCCATATGAACATTTAAAGTGGAGATATCTCTAAATTTGTTCATCTCAGGCTGCTTTTGAGCTACAGCATTTCTGCTTTGCTTATAGAGCACACTGCCTTCTTTAATGTGGGTACATCATGCTGGACAGTCCTGTGCCTTTGTTTCCAATACATATGTGTATATACTATGTATATATACACACAGATAGGTGTTCAATATGTGATTATTGTCAGGATAATATTTTGTATTTGCGAAGACACTTTGCATCAGCAATTTTGATTTGGGGAGGCAGCATGAAATACAGGGTGTTACAAAGGCTTAGTTCATTTTTAAGCTACTAGCTAGACTCCAGGACCTGGAGTCATTAAGACCTGACTTCATCATCTTCCTCTGACACTTAACCAGCTGTGTGACTGTGGGTTCTGCTTTAAGCCATAGTCAGCTCCACATGATTATAAGTTACAGGTGGAAGAGCTTCCCACATCAGAAATTCCCATAAAGAAGAAATCACAGATCTTTGGCTTAATGATGTAAATTGGGCTGATGATTTTGTAGATTACTTTATATGAAGCAGTTATTTATTAAACGTTAGTTGGTTAGCTCTTTGGGGTGGGAGGGGATATGTCTGCCAAGTAGATAGAGTGCTTATAGTCAATTTGACGTGTTCGATCTCCTATTTCTTGGCTGATAAATAATTTTGAACAGATGATGGCATGTTGTGAGTCTACTGGGTATGTAAAGGTCTGCACAGTGATATAACTAATTCAGAAAAAAATGAGTTATGCATGTGGTCAACATAATCACATGACCGCAGAGTGTTCTTTCTTTTTAAAAAATGCTGTTTATCGAAAATAAACAATGATATCCCTTCACTTAAAAAAAGGATTAATAACAAGAAGAGTAATATTATTTTTAACATGCTAAATATTCCAGAACCACATTATAACAGTATATGCTATGGAATGGAATTTCCACATAAGACTGGTTCATTAATCATACACAATCATTGACATATGAAAAGAACCTATAATAAGGAAGTTTCACTCTGAGAACACTGGAAAAATTTTGTGACAACTTTCCAGCCTCATGTATAAAGAAGATGGAGATAAAGACAAGGTAGGTTCCTGAATAGTGCAAGGGAAGAGGACCTCATCTGTGAACAAGTATTGTAGAATTTCCTTGAGGATTCTCAACATTCCATGTTAATAATTAATTACTGGAGGGCTACATTCCTAGTGAGCTGCAGATTTTCTATAGAAGCTGTTGCTATTGGATGTCTTATGAGATATTCCTGTAACTTGTGGCATATAGACAGTGAACCAGTTTGTTCATTTTTTTCCTATAGAATGACAAAGAGCCAAGCTTTCATAATCACTTTATCTAGGGTAACATTCTGTAGGGTGAATGAATGCCTATTGAAACAACAAAATATATGCTATGATATGTTACCTTTGGTTTCTAATTGGCATAACCCTGGCAATCATGAGCTTTTTGATTAATCACTAACATGTTTCTGTGCTCCCTTTCAAATATAATACAATGAATTCTTTCCTAATTATAACTTTTATCAGTGACCACCAGAATCCCTTTGACGTCAAATTTTCTTTGAAAAAATCTTTTGTTTTTTCCCAATTACTTGTAAAAACTATTTTTCAACATTAATTTTTATTTATTTATTTTTAGTTTTCAGCATTCACTTGTACAAGATTTTGAGTTCCAAATTTTTTCTTCCTCCCTTCTCAAGAGGGCAAGCAATCTGATACAGGTTCTACATATACAATGGTATTAAACTGATCTCCACATTAGTCATAACATTAGTTTTTAAAAATTTTGAGTTCCAAATCCTCTCCTTCTACCTCATTGAGAAGGCAAGCAATTTGATATAGATTATACATATGCAGTTTTGAACTTTCTTAGTAATAATACTAGTTAACATTTATATAGCGCTTTAAGGTTTGCAGATGCTTCATATATAGTATTTCATTTGATCCTCACAACAGTACTGTGAGATTGGTGTTACTATTATCCTCATTTTATAAATGAGGTAACTGAAGCCCAGAGGGGTTAAGTATCTTGCCCAGGGTTTATTGTTTAGTTATTTCAGTTGTGTCTGACTTTTCATGACCTCATTTGGGGTTTTCTTGGTAAAGATACTGGAATGGTTTGCCATTTCCTTCTGCAGCTCATTTTACAGATGAGGAAAATAAGGCAAACAGGGTTAAGTGCCTTGCCCAGGGTCATAGGTTACACTACAGGTAAGTGTCTGTGGCAAGATGGGAAGTACTTGGCCTTTCCTGAGTCCAGGTCCACTATGAGATCTAGTTGCCTCCAAGGCAGATAAATAGGTAGGTGCTATCCCTTGTCTTTTATATATTTCCCTTTCTCCTGTGGTATTTGAATCCATTTGAAACCTCTGTGGGCTTTACTTATTATTCTTTCCTTATGCATTGGTGTAATTTTCTTTTCTCCTATTTTTGGTGGTTCCCATTCATCAACGAGTACATATTAAGTACCTACTGTATGTCAGGCAGTATGCTATGTCCTGAGGTTATAGATATAAAAATGAACCAGGGGAGAGGTGTTGCTTGCAGCACTCCCACAATGAACAGATATAAGATGCATTGCTGGTGAAGTTTTCCTCGAGTTCTCTATAACAATGAAATCACCCCTGATTACACCTTCCTTCTTTCCTTCCTTCCAACCCTGTTGTGCAAGGTAGGGTGCTAGTTGCTGGGGTAACAAAGACAGAAACAAAATTGGCCTTGCTCTCAAGGAACTGGGGGAGGGATGTATGGTGAGGTAGTTTTATTACATATATGTAAATGTAAGTGTGTGTTGTGTGTGTGTGTGTATGCATATGCATACATATGTACCTATGTTCTCATATATATTCATATACACATATATTTGGCACAGTGGATAGATTGCTGGACTTGGAGTCAGGAAGACCTGAATTCAAATGCAGCCATAGAAACCTAGTAGCTCTCTGACCTTGGACAAGTCATTTATCTGCCTCAGTTTCCTCATCTTGTAAAATAGTGATGATAATAGCATCTACCAGGAAGGGTTGTTGAGAAGATCAAATAAGATAATATTTGTTAAACCTTTGCAAACCTTGAAGTGCTATGTAAATGCTCACAATTATACACATACATACACATACACACAAGAAAGGCAATATGACATGGGGGTGGAGTGCTGCCCTTGGAGTCAAAAAGACCTAAGTTTGACTCCCTCTTCAGACACTTACTTTGTGACCCTAAGTAATCTCTCTGAGCCTCAATTTTCATCAGTAATACACATCATAATTTGAGTAGAATATTAACAGCTGTAAGATTCATAATTGTTAAATAATGGAAATTAGAAACTTAATCATTTTATTTCATTGTTTTTTTTTATTAGGTTTCAGCTTAAATGCACCTTTTTCATCAATATTCTGTATTCTTCAGTAGACACCAAAGTAAAATTTATATTTTTGCTGTTGTTTAGTCGTTTTTCAGTTGTGTTTTTTTGGCAAGGATACTGGAGTGGTTTTCCATTTCCTATTTCAGCTTATTTTACAGATGAGGAACTGAGGCAAACAAGCTTAAGTATTTGTCCAGAATCACATACCAGTAAGAGTCTGAGGCTAGATTTGAACTCAGGAAGATGAGTCTTCCTGACTTCAGGCCCAGTACTCTATCCACTGTGCCACCTCGTTGCCCTAAAATTTATATACTTTTTAAAAACAATATGTAATCTGTTTGAAAGGCAGCATTTTAAAGTGCTGCCTTTCAAACACAGATAACAATATATTGTTGAACTATCAAGGACAAAGAGAACAACAAATAAAGGTACAGTGATGATAAAAATGAATAAACATCTGAATAAACTATTTCAATTTTGTGTGATTTTTCTGCATATACACACATATATTTTACCTTTCAAAGAGGAATCATTTCAAAGGTGTGGTTCATATTTAGGAAACCCCTTACTTGAGTAGATGAAATTTATGAGTTCAGCCAGTAGTTGAAATAATGAGAGGTTTTCTTTTCTTCTTTTTAAATAGGTATCAGTATTATCTGCAACTGAAGAAAGATATATTGGAAGGAAATATTCCTTGCACATTAGAACAGGCAATTCAGCTTGCAGGTTTAGCTGTACAAGGTAAGTCAGAAAAGTACATTAATAAAGGTGTTTTGAAGGTGCATTATAACTAACAATCCACTGGGAAGAACCATTGACCCAACTGACTTATTCTTTCTGTTTATGCTTGAATATCAATAGCTGAATGTTAACAAAGCTTTGTTCCTAGATCACTGGAACCTCTATTTGAAAATGACTTTCAAGGCAGGGATTATGAATATTCAATGGCCATTGTTTACTGATAAATCCTTGAGACCCTAAGGAAAGTGAAAGAGGTTAGCTGCAGCAGATTAGGCAGCTAAGAGGTGAAGTGGATTGAGAGCTGGACCAGGAGTCTGCAAGACATGAGTTCAAATACAGAATCAGACTCATAAACTGTGTTTATAAGTTACTGGGAAAGTTATTTAACCACTGTTTCTTCCAGTATTTGCCCCAGGTTTTTCACCTGTAAAACGGAGATACACTATCCTCACAGAGTTGTTGTAAGAATGAAGTGACATAATATTTGTAAAGTGATTTGCAAAACTTAAAGCACTATATAAATATATTTTTATTATTACTAATAATAAGTAGTTTTGAGAATAAAGGTATTGAAAAGGACCCTAGTTGAATATGTTAATAATTTTCCAGATGAATTCATGGCAGGGAAATACAACTAGGAGATCTGTGAATGATACTTTTTTATATCTCAGTTATCATGAATTACACTTCTTTATGTTTCAGGCCTCCAGTCTGAGTCCACAGTTACAAGCTGCCAGTGGAACTCATTGGCTTAAAAATACATGCTTTGTATTTTTACCCTAGTTATTTTCTGATAGGAGACTTTGATCAAAAAATATCAGTTTGGTTTCAAACTAGTGATTTTTTTTCTTTTGGAATTGCAAAGTAGGTGGATAATTGATAAAATTTGCTTTGCACATGTGCAGACTTAGTAACTTTTTAGCTACGTGGTTGTATATGTTACACATGTTTCCATACTTGCAATTACATTGAAAATGATGGTACATTATGCTTTATAAGGTTAGTTGGTACTCTTCAAAATGAAGGAGCACAGGTGAAGTTACTCTAAAGGCTAATCTTTTAAAAACTTGTTGAACTACCAATAATTAAAAATTTTTTAAAAACCATTCCTTTTATGAGAAATCTGACTTCTGTAGCATATCATCTTTATATAGTACACTAAGCTTTTTTTGGAAAATCATAAGGGGATAAAACACCTATTCTCAGGGTTGTTGTGAGGATTAAATGAGATAGTATTTGTAAAGCAGTTTACACAGTGCTTGGAACATGATAGGGACTATATGAATACTACTACTACTACTGATTTAGAGCTGGAAGGGACCATTGAACGTATCAAATCTAATTATAGTTCATTATACAGTGAGTTCCCAGAGATGTTAGATGACTTGTTTTTGGTCACATGGGTGAATGACAAAGATCTGCTTCGAAACCAGGTCCTTTGACTCCAAATCTGACATTCTTTCAGGCATACAAATTAAAATAAGTTAATAAGTGAATCTTGACCTTTATTTTTTTTCTTTCATAGCTGATTTTGGTGACTTTGATCAGTATGAATCCCAGGACTTTCTACAAAGATTTGCCTTGTTTCCTGTGGTAAGAACTTCTTTTCTGTTAGGACTTAAAAATGAGTAAGATAAAAGGGCCTGAATAGGGTTCCCGTAGCTTAATCCTTGAAATAAGGACATAGATTGTTATAGTTGGAAGAGGACTTAGAGGTTATCTGGCCTAAACTCTTTACTTTGTAGGTGAGGTGATGGTCAGTGAACTGACTAGGATTAAGCACTAAAAAAAGTATGTTACCTGGCATATGAAATGATGTGCATATTCTTTCTCTAGTTAAGTCTGGTACTGTACTTTCGTTTCTTAGACATACTGACCTACTTAGGTAGTTTGATTTGGGTGCCTGGAAGGAAAATAATGTCACACACTCATAAGAACAATTTTGACAGATCCAACGTTGGTTTTATACACCTCGGCAGCTAAGGTATATCCTGTCCTGTTCAGTAGTCATACAAATGATGTTTTTTGTTTCCTTAAATGCACATGATCTTACAGTATTAGACACAAAGACCTCTTAGTAAATGTGTTTAAATAATTGGGATGATAACCTTGTATTGTGATGATGAAATGAAAGGGACTAGCAGGTTTCCTTTTATTCTTAGTAAAAATATTGTAATCCTTATTCTAAACTCCTTTTGATAAGTCTTGTCAAATCTTTGGTAGTAGAGATTGCAGATGCTGGTTTGTTTTTTAGCCATTCAACCAGCTTGTTTAAAAACCTAGTACTTTGTTTTGTGTACAGGGATGGTTACAGGATGAAAAAGTATTGGAAGAAGCAACGCAAAAAGTGGCCTTACTGCACCAGAAATACAGGTGAGTGGCATAGGATGCAGTAATTTTTAAAAAGTTATGGACTTTTACAATTTTACAAATGTCTTGACATAAGTAAATTCAGAACTTTAAAGGCAGTCTGGTTTTCTGATCCATGGGTCAGAGCTATAATGTGTTATAAACTTATCTGTCTCCCTCTTAACAGAACTACAAATGGAGAGTCCCTCCCCCCATTACCTTCAGAGTGTTCATTGCATTTTCAGAGGGAGTTGTACTATATGATTTTTAGACTTCATTGGAATAATTATTATACACTAGCCAATTTAGTTATAAGAAAACCCCCCAACAATTCCAACATGACATTTACATGCATTTTTGCATTTGAACCCCACCACAGTCCTTTGTGGTAGATAGTAAAGGTAGTACAGGCTGTTCCGAAACTCTTAGTGCAGTTTAAAAAAAAGTTTTTATTGATATTATCTCTTGATTGTATTACCACAGTGTCCTATGTACCTCTCTTCTAACCCCTCCCAGAGAACTATCCCATATGTCAAATAGTATTATTTTGAGAGGAAAAAAATCAGCAAATTGATTTATATATTGAAGAAGTCCTAAAACAAGTGTAAAGTACTCTCACCTCTAGGAGGAGTAGGTTGAAGGAGTCTTCTCATATCTCTTCATTTGAGCCCTGTTTGAGCTCCATAATTTTGTTACACTTCCTTTTGTTTTTCCAGTATGTGCTCATTCTTTCCATTTAAATTGTTGTAGTCATTGTGTATATTGTTTTGTTTTGATTTTTATTTTTGGCTCTGCTTACTCTACTCTGCATCAGTTCATATAGATCTTTCCAGGCTTCTCTATTCATTGCACACATCATTTTTTACAGCACAGTAGTATTCTGTTATATTCAAGTATCATTTTTATTTCGCCATTCCTTAATGGATGGGCATCTACTTTGTTTCCAATTTTTAGCTATTACAAAAAAATGCTGCTATAAATATTTTGGAGTATGTGGGGACTTTCTTTTTATTGATGGCTTCCTTGGGGAAGCTAAATAATGGAATTTCTAATTTAAAAAGTGTGAACATTTTAGTTTTATTGCAGCATTACAGTTTTATTGTCTTAAAACTTGGTGACTTTTAATAGACTCTTAGGCTATTAAAGCTTAAAATTGCACAAAGACTTTTGGAACATCCTGTATTATCTCTGTTTTACAGATGAGGAGATTGAAGCAGAGAGAAATTAGGTAGTATGTGCCAGAGATGGAACTTGAACTGTGGTTGTCCTGATTCCAAGCCAGCTCTCTCTATAACACCAAATGGCCTTAAATATTCTCACCTAGCCAAAGTCAGGGCCTTTTCTAAACAATTAAGCAGCTCCACGTCATTTCAAATAGCCACTGTGTACTTTATCCATATTACTGTTTAGCGGGGTATGCAATTCAAAAGTTTGCATTATTGCTTTACTTTTAGAGTGCTTATACAAACCTTTGGCGTCTTTTATCTGAATGCATAGGCGCCACTTGAGAAGTGGCCGGCAAGACTGATACGGTGTCTGTGGTCTCAGTCTTATATTGCAGAGGAAAAGAGTGCTGTTTTGTCCTTGCTCTAGTCTCTCCTATATGCCATCAAAACTGGTTTCCCCAAATCAGTTCCCTGCTCATGGACCTTCAATAGTTTCTCATTTCCTGTAGGAGGAAGTCTGTACTCTAACTAAGTGTGCTTTCAGTCTCTTACTTAATATGGGCGCAATGCACTATTCCAGCTTTATGCCCTGCTAATCCAACAAATTGGTGTACTTCTTCTTCAGACATATTTTATACTTTCCTGCTTTAGTTTATGCCTTCCCTTTGTTGTTATTTAAAACTTTCTCATCCTTTAAGGCCCAACTCAAATCCAGCTTCCTCTTGGACCATCTAAGTTGAATTGCTGTTTTCTTCTCTATCTCTGGTCTATCTCTCTTTGTCTCTCTGTCTCTGACTCTATTTTTGACTCCATCTCTCTCTCTCTCTCTGTCTCTTTCACTCTGCCTTTCTCTGTCTCTCCCTCCCTCCCCTTCTATCTTCTTTACTGTCTGTCTTTCTCCTGCCCTCCCTCTCCCTCTCTCACTTTCCTTCTGTTTTTCTTACCCTCCCTATTTCTCCCTCCCTCTCTCTATCTCTCTGTTTGCTCTGTCTCTATTTTTCTCTCCTCTCTCTTCACTCACTCCTATAATACTTATTAATCCACAATACTGATTATATACTGTCTGGTACTTTTAGATATATTTTCATGTGCAAAATTCTTTTCCTGCTACTAGATTGCAAGCTCATTGAGGGCAACTGTTTTCTGTCATATTTCTTTCTTTCCTTCCATTTGCACATAGAAGGGTCCCAAGAAGAATCTGTTGATTTTTTGAGTTACTCAAGGGGGACTTGAACAATTAAAATTATTCTAATTTAATGAGTGATCTTCTAAACTTACCTTTTTTTTTTTCTCTTTTGGTTGCAGAGGGCTTACCCCACCTGATGCTGAAATGCTATATATGCAAGAGGTAGAGAGGATGGATGGTTATGGGGAAGAGAGCTATCCTGCTAAGGTATGCAGGGTTATTACTGTTTCACAAAAATTGGCATTGGCTTAGAGATAAAATGTAAACTTCTTTGTTTGGCATTTAAATCCTTAGATAGTCTGGCTCAAAGCTACCTGTCCAGGCTTATTTCATGTAACTCCACTTTATGAGCTCAGTCCAGCCAAAGTGCACTCCTGGTTTTTCTCTGAGTCCACCAACCACCTCCCTCTCTGCATGGGGATAGTCATCCTCCATGTGTGGACTGCACTCTCTCCTCATCTCTCAGAATTCTTGTCCCCTTTTCTTGCTTCAAGGCTAACTTCAGGTACCACCTCCTCTATGGAGCCTTCCCTAATCCCTACCCTTTCCTGTCAGTTTTAGTGTTTTCTTTCTTTGTTGCCATCTGCTTTTGCATTCTAGTTATTGTGAGAGGAGCAATGTGACAAAGCAGGCAGAGAGTTGACCTTAGAATAAAGCAGACCTTGGCTCAAATTCTGCCTCTGACCTATATTGGCTCTGAGATCCTGATCAAGTCATTTAAACTCTCAGTGCCCCTGGCAGTTCCCTCCAAGATAGTCTTAGATTGTCTTAGATAACTCTCTTAGGGCAGTTGCTGGACCACATTATTGGCATTACTTAGGCCACTGATTTTGAAGGGCCAAACTACAACAAAAAAAATACTTTATTTTTGTTCTTGTTACATGTACATCTAAGTTCCTTGAGGTCAGGGCCTATTTTGCCTGACATTTAGTAAGTACTTAATAAATGCTTGGTGACTGATTAGTTGATGAAGTCACATAGTAGAAGATAAGCTTCTTGACAATAACTACTATTTTGGTTTTGTATTGCTAATTCTGGATCCACTGAAACTAATAATTTATTATTTTTTGCTTTATGGAATAATTGAAGGAAAATTCCATTATAGTTCATTTTTATGTAGTATTTTGCTGATTTGGAGAAAAAAAATTCTTCTCAACAACTCTGTGAGGTAAATAGTATATCTTGTTATCTCTTTTTCTAGATGAGGAGACTGAGGCATAGAGACTTGCCCAGGGTTGGGTGATTAGTTAACGTAAGAACCAGATAGCTGACACTCAAATCCAGATCTTCTGAGTCTAACATTATTACTTTTTTCCATAGTCATACACTGAATTTGTATTCCTTGTGCTCAAAAATAAATAATGAGGACATCTGAAAACTTAATCAAGGAACTAATTTAAAGTCTTTATTAAATTATACTGATTTTACATACCACTTGGAAGTATTAATGGCAGCAGAGTTATCAGCACTAAAATTGGGGTAGTCATACCTTTTAACTTTTCAACTTTTTAATATGCTTTTTAGGAAGAAAATAAAATTAGCCCTTTGAGACTTAAACAAAAATCTGTCTATCTGTATTTGTGATTAAGTGAATATGTACAATTCTTTCCACAGCTTATTTTAAGTTCGTAGATGATTAAGGTAATTGCTACTCTTCTGATGTATTTGCTTATTGAGAGTTGGGTTTTTTTTTTGATGCTAGTATCATTTCTACTTTCTTATTTCAGGATAGCCAGGGAAGTGATATCTGTATTGGAGCCTGTCTCGATGGCATCTTTGTGAAACACAAAAATGGAAGGCCTCCTGTTATATTTCGGTATTATTCTTAAATCTTTTTCTTTAAACTTTTAAAACAATTTTCAGATTTGTGTTTTGTGTATTTCTGGTGATTTTTGCATCATCTACTTTTTATGAAGGTAAGAGGCAATTGTGTCTTTTCTGAAATGAAATGCTTTCTGATTGTAGTTATTCCTTTGCACTATGTGGAATATGTACTTTGGAAGTAAATGTGTAGGAAATAGTGTTTAGTGTTAATAACTTGATGATTCTTTAAAACTCCTGCTCTGATGTTTCACCTGCTCTCATTGGCTCCAGAATAGAAAAGGAGAGGGATGAGAAGGGTTACTTCTTCCTTCACACTCTTGATTTAATGGCCAACTATTTCAGTAATGCCACCTTCTTTACTCTGAAATCCTTCAGCCCTTTGACCTTTTGTCTGTTCTGGCCCTGCTAATCCCCAACTCTGGATAACTCCCCTTCTCTGCGTCTTTTCTGGAGTCACTAGGGCTGCTGGAAGAAGTCATCACATCAGACCGATTGCATCTATTACAGTTTATGGTCTCTAATTTCAACAGGGATTCCATGTATTGTAAACCTTTTATTCATCTCTTACTGATTCTCTAACATTTTAGCAATTCTTCTAAACTTCCTCCTCCTTCCTCTGGCCTCTCCTCCTCCATTCCTTTCCAGGATACCTTTCCTGATCCCTCATAGTTATTCATGGTCTCATCCTCTTCAAGTAATAATGTAGAACTGTGTTTACATGATGTATCCCTTCAATAGAATGTAAACTTTTTGAGAGCAGAGGCAATTTTCTATTTTATTTTTCTATCCCTAGAGACTAGTGCAATGCCTAACACATAGTAGGCACTTAATAAGTATATGCTTAATTAGTTGGAATTCAGCAACTGATTTCATCTCCTACTTTTCTGAGGAAACAAAGAAGTCATGTGAAGTGATCCTTATCTCCCATTTTCTACCCTTCCAAAACCTTTCTGTTGCTTCATTTATTCCATACTTTTTTTTATTCTATACTTCTTTCCTCCTTTCTCAGAAAATAAAGTGACCTTTCATTATGTCAAGCCTAATGCTGTTAAACCTGTGATAATTATCTCATCTCTTTCTGTCTCCTCCAGAACCTTACTCCATCAATCACTCTTCTCTCTTCATTGCAAAACTTCCGTGGACGAGAGTATGCTTGTTGCTTGTATTTCTCAAAGGTCTCTCATTCTCAAACCTCTGAATCTGTTTTTTTTCCCCTTACTTCTCTGCTGAAACTGCTTTATCTAGACTCACTAGTGATTTCTCTGTTACCAAATCCAATTAGCTTCATCTCAATTCTCTTAACTTTCGACTTCTAAAAAATTTGGCAATAGACATTAATTTTTTTTTTGTATTATATGGTCATTTATGTACGTGTTTTAGTTATCTTTCATCTTGACCTCTGTAGTTGTTGTTGGACCAACCCTCCTTTTAAAAAAATACATTTTGTTGGTATCTTTTGATTTTATATCACTTATATTCTTCCCATCTTTTTTGAGGTTCTCTTTTTTTTTTTCTGTGACATTGATCTCTTCCGTATCTTCTCCCTTCTCTCTTTGACTTTTCCTTCTCACTCTTATTGGTTCCTTTCTTCCTCTAGCCTCTGTAGAGTGAATTCCCCTAAGGCTCTGTTCTTATCATTCTGTTTTCATTCTGCCTTCTTCTGCCTCTGCATTTATACATGGGGATTCCCAGTGACTAAATAGAGCCTTTCATGTCTCTACTTGTTGAATTCCTTCTGTTCCTTTAAGACACCAGTCAGGTACAATCTCAGTATGGTAAATAACCTTTGTGAAAATATGAAGGTGGCAACTGAATTTAAGAAAGCTGCCTCAATAGAAGCAGGCAGCTTGATTCCCACATATGTACTCCAGAAAAAACCTAAACATGGCACCAGACTGAAAAATGATCAAGAAATCCAAGGAGAAACTACAGCAAGTGATTTCTCGCATCCCGGAATGGCACAAAAATTCAGCCTACAGGCAGTAGGAAAGGGGACTGTCAGAAAAGCCAGTGCCAGATAGTAGCTTCCCAAGATGACCAGAAACTAGCAGAGACATGATTAGCTTGCTAGACACTATGTCTCGAGGCAACAAGGGTGGCAGGTTTCCCTGAGAAATCCCAGGGGTTGTCAGAAACCTGCGGCTGGCACCTTTGAAGTGACTAGGTGGAGCAGCCAGCAGTGAGGTTGTAGCAGTGCTCAGTACCCTCCCTTCTTTCAGGCCTAAGGACTCCTGGGTTTCTAGTGTACTGTCCTGAGATGCCATAGAAGGCCCTGAAGACCCAGTGCTTTGAGCCACAAAGATTTGGGAGGGGGCCTAACTGCAAGGTGGAGGTTAGCAGAGAAACTCAGGTCACTTTAGTTGAGACTAACCAGGGCTAAACAGCCTGCCCAGGAGGTAGAGCTTGGCTCTGGTACAAAACCCCTATTGAGAAACTAAGACTGGAGAGATGAATAAACTGAGGGAGACATAGACAATGATAAAGAATAATGATAGTTCCAGACATACCCCCAAGTCCAACCTAGAAGAGGAGAGTAACTCTATAACTACAAACATTTAAAGGGAACATTGATTTTCCACAAACATTATATGAATAAGTAGAAGAAATGAAGCAAGAGATAAAATGATGAAATAAGAGCTCTGGAGGAAAGAATTGGAAGGAAAAGAAATAACTTGGAATAGAAAGTGGTAGACTTTACCCAAATAACAGACTCCCTGAAAAATTGAAATAGACCAAACAGAAATCATTGGCTTCATGAGACAACAAACACCATCAGAACAAAATCAAAATATTGAAAAAAATGTAATGATCAGCTGTCAAAAACAATTGATCTGGAAAACAGGTCAAGTGGAATTAATTTAAGCATCATAGGGTCTCCCTGAAAACCATGATCAAAACAAAACCTGGACTCTGTTTGAAGAACCTGTAAGTGAAAACTGCCCAGATTTATATTAGAACCACAGGGCAAAGTGAAGACAGAAAGAATCTACTGACCACGTGTGAAAGAGACTCTCAAAGTCTGAGGAATGTCATAACCCAAATCCAGAGATTGCAGGTCAAAAATAAAAGTACTGAAAGAAGAAAGGAGTTCAAGTATCAAGGAACTACAGTCAGGATCAAAAAGAACTGGCAGTTTCTACTGTCAGTGAAAGGATATCTTAGAGTGTAGTATTCCAAAAGGCAGAATAACGTGTCTTGTAAAGGGAAGCATAAGGGAAAGTAAGTAAATAGATAAAAATTAAAAATGACCTTTAATGGAACAGAGGTATTCCAGATGAACATACCAGAGTTCAGAAGGAAATAGGATATACAAAAACAAGAATGAAGAGAAAATTAGAAAGACAAATTTATTTCAATAGTTGTACATTGATAAATGCTAACATTCTTATAGGGGGAGAAGCAGCAGCCCTGGGTTTGAGAATTTTAAGAAGAGAAAGAGAAGAGAGTATAAAACATTTTAGTATAGAAAGGAGGAATAATGGAGTAGATCCTATTATAGTGGGTTATATGAAAAAAGAGTATATGAACACGGAGGGAAAAGCTGGGGAGCAGGCAGTATATGAAACACATTTATCTGAATCAGATAAAGAAGGGTTGAGCACACGTCATACTAATGTGCACACCCACACGCAAAAGAGATTGATATAGAAATATATCAAACTAATTAGGCAAACAGGTAGGAATAAGGAAGTAGAGGTTAAGAGGGAGAATAATACTGGGGAGCAAATAGTCAAGGAAAGAAGTCATAAGCAAAACAAACTTCCTGATCCTGAAGGAGAGCTTAAAAGGGAAAAAAAAGAAAAGCAAAGAGCCAGACACTGAGGGGTGTAGCGGTGCCCATCAGTTGTTGAATAGCTGAACAAATTGTGGTGTGTGAATTCAGTGGCATATTATTGAACTATCAGAAATGATGAGATACAATTTCAGAAAATCCTAGGAAGTGTGAACTGTCAGAATGAAGTGAACACAACCAACAAAACATTTTCTAAAAGAACAATAACATTGTAAAGAAAAATAACGTTGAAAGATTTAACTCTAGTCAAAGCCATGAATAACTATGTCTGTAGAGGACCTAGGACGAAGCATGTTACCTACCTTCTGTCGAAGATATGATGCAGAAAGAGACATATTTTTGGAGATGGCCAGGGTGATCTATTTTGCTTCACTATGCATGTTAGTTTTAAGGATTTTTTTGCCTCTTTTTAATTGGGGTAAGAGGTAGGGGAGGAGAATGGGTTGGTAATAGTGCTAATATCTTCTGTCCTGTTAATCACATTTTATCCTAGATCCTAGTTATTTAGGTATATATCTCTTTTTCCTCTCATAGATTATAAATTCCCTTGTGGCAGGCAGTGTTGTTTGTTTCCTCAGTACATGGTACAAGAAATAGTTATTAAATAAATATTTAATTGAATAGTGGTATACTGGAAATAAAAAAAAATAATAATAAAATAATTTGCAGTCAAAGGACCTGAGTTCAAATATCATGGCTCTACTGTGAGATTTGGGGCAAATTATTTCTCTTCTCTGGACCTCAGTTTCTCCCTCAGTAAAATGAAAGGAGAGCTTAGAGAACATCTGATGTGCATCTTTTTTCATATATAGTTAAGCTCAGATTTGCAGGGTAGGTGACTATTGGCTAAATCTTCAGTTCCACTGCTCTTTGGAAGACATTATTCCATTCCTTCTTATGTTTTCTGGTGGATTCAGAATAGTCTTGCATTATTCAAATTTTCTTTCCTTCATTTTTTAAGGTCTTTTTCTTGATCACTTCCAGAACTCATTGTTACTCAGACAAATTGTTCACTTTAACTATTCTGTGTCTTGGAGGATGTAGCTTTGTTGGTTGTTTTTTTTTTTTACAGAGGTGTAAATTCTTTCAATACAGATTTCATTTTCCCCAGATGTTCTCTATGCCTCATTCCTCCTCTATTTCTTTCTGCCTAAATGGTCTGTATTATATTACATTTCTATCTCTGTTATTCTTAACCTATTCTCCATAATGCTTTTCTAATTCCATAAGACTGTATCTTCTTAATATACACTGCCACTACAAGCTCTCTTTTATTTATCTATTTTTTTTTTCCTGAATACTCATACCCTAGTCCTGGTTTTATCCAGTAGTGAAGTTGCAGTGAAACCTGGGAGGACAAATTTGCCTCCCGGACTTAGAATTTCATTTTGCTTGTTATATATACTTTGTGCGTATTTGTGTAGACATCTGAAATTATGGCTCTTGGATTTTGTCTCCTGTAAGCTATTCTCTTTACTATGTTATAGTTATTCTCTAATGTCTAGTTTGGTGGATATGTGTGTGCGCAATACTTGACTCCAGTCAAATAAATTTTTAAAAATTTTATTGTTTTTTTTGGTTTTATTTTTACAACCCATGCATTCTTGAAATACTTCTCTGTTCCTCTATCCAGTAAGCTATTTTTTTTATGAAAAAGATTTAAAAAAGGAGAGTTCAGTAAAACTGACCTAATTATGTCTAATAGTATATACAATATTCCTTACTGATAGACTTTTACCTTTGCAGTGAAGCAAGGGAGGTATATTTCCCAAATCTTCTTTTGGGCCAGGCTTGACTATTATGATTATACAGTGTTCAGTTTTTATTGTCATTGTTTATGTGGTTTCCTTGGTTCTGCTTACTTTATTCTGTCTTTGTAATTTCTTATGGCACAATGATATTCCTCTACAGTTATGTACCACAGGGCATTTGGTTGTCCCCAGTTAGTGAGCATCTTCTTCGTTTTCAGTTCTTTGATACCATAAAAAATGCTGCTGTGAATACTTCAGTGTATATAGGACCCTTATTCTGTCCTTGACCTCTTCAGGGATAGTGTTTGGACCTCTGGGTCAAAGGGCATGGATATTTAAATTACTTTTTGGGTTGTTTTGTAAAATTTTTTTTTCATTAATAATTTCTGTTTTCACATCACCTAGATTTTCCCCATATACCTCTCCTTTCCCTTTCACAGAGAGCCATGTCCTATAACAAAGAATTTTTTTTTAAAAGAGAAAGAGGGAAAAAAATTTTAGCAAAAAAACCCCAAACCCCAAAATCAAAAAACAAAACCACACCACAAAGTCCTGACATTATATTCAACGTTGCACACCCCTGACTTCTGCCAAGGAATAGGTATAAGTGTCTGCAAAGGGATGGTGGCGGGGTGGGAGCCGGGGGAGTATGTGTGGAGAGAGTGGAGTGTCTTCTCATATCTCTCTTTTGGGACCAAGCTTATTCTTTTTAATGTTGTAGTATTCATCATTTTTATTGTTTTGTGGTGGTTGTTCTTTCCATTTATATTATTGTTATCATTGAGTATATTATTTTCTTGGCTTTGTTTACTTTAATCTGCATCAGTTCATGCCTCTTCATGCTTCTTTGTATTCATTATGTTCATCTTTTCTAATAGCATAGTAATTTTTCATTACATTCTTGTACTGTGAGTTGTTTAGCCATTTGCCAATCAATGGGCATCTTCTTTGTTTTATGTTTTCTACCACAAAAGTGCTACCATAGATATTTGGTGTATGTGGAGCCTTTCTTTTTGTCAGTGGCCCTCATTGTAGTACATGCCTATCAGTGAAATCTCTGGGTGAAAGGGTAGGAATACTGTAGTCACTGTATTTGCATAACTCTAAATTGATTTCTAGAATAATCATCCTAATTCACAACTCTACCAATAATGCATTAGTGTACTTTTCTGTAGCTTCTCCGACATTGTCTAGTAACTTTTGTAAAGCATAATTCCAAATTATATTTGAGAAAGACTCAACCATTCTACAGCTGTATGAACACTGTATTAATTTTCCTCTCTTTCCTCAAAATCTCCAATGTTGACTATTTGTATTTTTGTCATCTTTTCCAATTTGCTAGATGTAAAAACAAGGTTTAGTTGTTTTGATTTACATTTCTCTTAGTGATTTGGAACAACATTTTATTTGGTTGTTGGTTCATAATTCTTCTTTGGGTACTGTTCATATTCTTTTACTACTTATTCACTGGAGAATGACTCTTGATGTAATATATTTGCGTTATTTCCCTAGATATCTTGAATAACAGGCCCTCATCAGGGATCTTTGATATAAAAACTAACTTTCCCTTCCCTCTCAGTTGATAGTTTCCATTCTTTCCTGGTAGTATGAATTTTATTCACACAAAAACATTTTGTTTCATGTAAATAAAGTATTTTAGTTTTTTTTAAAATGTCTTCTATCCATTGTTCAAATAATAATTCTCCCTCTGGCAGTGGTTGTGAAAAAAATATTTTTACCACCACTTGCTAGTTGTAGCATCTTTGGTCAGATGCTTGCCATTTCTATATTTTAAGTTGTGATCTGGCCATTAATCCAAATCTCAGTCTCAAATTCAGTCATATTTTTTTTAAGGGGGAGAAGTAGAAGGCAGCAGTTAAAAAAAAAACTCCCCCCCCACCCAAGCTGCAAATACCTTGTATCCCCCATTAAAATATATGTTCCTTGAGAGCAGGGACTGTGGTTTTATGTACCTTGTTTTGAATCCCCAGTATTAGTACAATGCCTTGCCCATAGTAAGCACTTATAAAAGCATATTGACACTTTAGCTGCAGTTTGTATTTATACACACACACACACACACACACACACAGAGACACACACACATACATATGTATATATACATATATATACACATTTGTATGAAATAAATTCAATACCTTAGTTTCAAACCTGTCCTGCTTGCCAGACACCATTATCTCAAGTAACTGTTAATTTTCTACTTCTGCTTTTTTTTTCTGAAGCCCTTGGCTTCAATAGGTAGTGACAGTGAAAGTACCTCCTTTGCCCTAAGGTCTTTGGTTTTTTGCCCAAGACTTTGTAATTGTTGGCAGAGCCTTCCAGGACTTGCCTCAGGCAGTATCATGTGTGCCCACTTGCATCACCAAAAGTAGATAGTAGTCGTCTGGTTTGACAAGTCTTGGGAGATTTGACACATCTTTGATACATGTGCTATGATGAGAGCAGACCTTTCTTTGATTATCACATCTATAAATAACTGCCCTCAGTAACAGTCAGTAAGGAGTCATTTGCCATCACTATTCTCTTATTCTAACCCTTAAGTGGATGAATATTTGATGGTACTTGTGGGTCTGTATGATTATTAGTTAGCACATAAGCAGGTACTTAAATTTTTAAAATTAAAATTTACTTGAAGAAAAATTGATTTTTCTTTTCCCTTCCACATACCATAGGAAAAAAAACAAATACCGCATTGTCATGTATGTATGTGTGTGTATATGTGAGTGCATTTTGTTTTGCACCTCTCCGACAGAAAGTGAAGAGCATGCTTCATAATTAGTATTCTGCAATCATGGTAGCTCATTGTGTTGATCAGAGTTCTTAAGGCTTTCAAGGTTGATTGTCCTTATGATATTGCTGTTATTGTATAAATTGTTCTCTTTGCTTCACTCTGCATCATTTCATACAAGTTTTCCCAAATTTCCCTGAAACTATTCTTTTCATAATTACTTATGACTCAGTATTTCATTATATTTGTATACCATAATTTGTTTTGCCATTCCCCAATTAATGAGCACTACTTTAGGTTCCAGTTCTTTGCTATTACAAAAATAAGTGCTATAAACATTTTTATATATAAAAGTCCTTCTCCTCTTTCTTTGATTTCTTTGGCATATGGCTCTAATAGTGGTATTGCTGGGTGAGAGTTATATGCAGTTTGCTAATAACATTTTGGACACAACTCCAAATAACTTTCCAGAATAGCTGGACCAATTTACAGCTTTACCAAAAATGCATTAATGTTTCTTTGTTCCTGTTTTCCAGCAGCCCCTTCAGCATTTGTCATTTTCATTTTTTTTTCAACTTTGTCAATCTGGTGGCATGAGGTGTAGAACCTTAGGGATGCTTTAAAGCTGAATTCCTTCGCATGTCCATCTACCTTCTCTTTGTAGAGTAGTTAGTTATTTATTTTTCCTTCTTTTCTTTTTTCTGTGATATTCTTTGACCTTCTAACCTCCCGACACAAGCCACTCTTTGCCTCTTCAAATCGTATTCTTTGGTTGACATTGGAGCCCTTCCAATAGTTTTAAAGGAACATTTCATTCTCCCTGATAACCAGGAGTTTTGAGAGAGTCATTCCTTGAGCCATTTTGCTTTCTTTTCCAGTAGAAAAACTATATACAGTTTGAACATAGGTAGCAGTCTTTTGACTCTGACAGAAATACAGATATTACATTTCGCAAGTCATGATAAAATCTTTCTTGTTTTTTGTACTTGTGAGAGTGAGATCTTCTTTCAATGTCCTTGTTATCTCCTTCCTTGGAGAATTACTAATTAATTTATGTGGAACTTTGTACCTACGTCATGAAAATTGTCATTTTTTAGTCTCTCATTATAGTAATTTTATATGTTTGTATTACCTCCCCAAGACTTTCATGCTTCTTGAGGATATTTACCATGTGTTGTCTTCAGCTTTGTGTACTCCACAGGTCTTAGCATTTGATGCTGTATTATTGGTATCATGATTTCTGTGCATAAAAGTATTTAACATAATATATTGGTTGAATCAAATCTTCACTTTAAATTATAATTAATGGATTCTTGAGGCAGATTGGTGTAGTGGATAAAGAGCTGGACTTGGAGAGAGAAAGACTTGGTTCAAGTCCCATCTTTGACAAATACTGTCTGTATATGACCCTGAGCAAGTGACTTGATCCTTCCAGTGCCCCCTGGCAACTCTCTATGATTCTTAAATTACAGAGAAAGTGCTAGTCAATATTGGTAGAAAGAGTTTTCTTACTGGAAATTTCTTACACCAATGAAATGAGAGGTTTGACAAAGAAAAAAGATCATAAACTCAAAATTTCCCTTTTAAGATTTTATGAAGTTAGGAGTTTACAATGCTATTCTCTTTCTTCAGGTGGCATGACATTGCTAATATGTCACACAATAAGTCCTTTTTTGCATTAGAACTGGCAAATAAAGAGGAGACCATCCAATTTCAAACTGTGAGTATTAGTGATCTTCACAGAACATTTTTTAACCATGCCACTGGAGTTTTGATGGCTTTAAAATTGTACCTTGATAAATATATTTTGATTTTTGACATAAAACTCCAAGGGGGAGAGTATAAAAGAGTAGTCGATTGGTTTATCAGTAATATTTTCCAGATAGTTGTTAGGTTCTTTCTTGAATAAAGTCAAGTCAACAAGTATTTATTAAATACTTAATAAGTGCCAGACACTGTGCTAGGTGCTGGGAATACAAATACAAGTAATTAAAAAAGACAGTCTCTGACCTCAAGGAGTTTACCTTCTAATGGGAAGTAAAGAAACTGGAGAAGGACATCCTGTGAGTCAGAAGTGGAATGAAGGAGTGAACAAGGTTGCCTGGGCTACTTTCCTTAAAATGAATTTACATGGGGCCTCTTATTCAAGCATTATGTTAAAAGAACTTTCTTTATGGGATGATTATCAGGCAAGGGTCTTCACCAGAGGCTGTCACTTTACCACTTTTCCATTTCAGAAACATTTTGGGTTGCTAAGTAGATACCTGCTACTGAATAAGAAATCTCTTAGGCTTTCAGTAGTGCGTAATTTTGCCAGTTTGCATCCCTATAGGATGCTTTTTATACGATTAAGTTTTCAACTGAACAACCTGAAGAATCATAGCAATATTTTAAAAATGGCTCATTAATAGAATGTTGGCTAACCTTATTATATGTAGTGTTCTGGAATGTTTTATATTCATCTTAATTTATGAACATTTTATTTGCTAGGAAGACATGGAAACTGCAAAATATGTATGGAGGCTGTGTGTTGCCAGACACAAGTTTTACAGACTAAACAAATGCAACCTGTAAGTATTATTTGCTTATGGAACTCTGAGAAATAATGATTTTAGACACTCCCACTTTATATTTTGTTTTATAAACTACAAATCTAATTGGTACCCAAAGAGGAGAGGATCATGTTTTTATACCCCTTCTATAATATTTTTCCTCTATTTGGTTTACGTATTAAGATATCATACTAATTTATTTCACTGTCTCCTTTGGACCAGCTCTTCATGGCTGAACTGTTATAATTTGCATAGAATCACCTGATCAAAGATTTAGAGCCAGAAAGACACCTTAGTGATCATTAGTCCAATAACTTCATTTTATAGATAAGGAAATTGAGGCCCAGAAAAGTTAAGTGTCTTGTCCCGGGTCACAGAGGTAGATGGTTACAGACCCAGGGTTTAAACTCTCAGGTCTTCTGTCTCTAAATCTGGTACTCTTTCCAGGGTAGCATGCTGTCTCTCTTTGGGATTTTTTTCAATTCATTCTTGGCTAATAACTTGAAACACATTTTTAAAGGATGTGCCCTTATTAGAATTTGTGATGTGTAAATATGCAGTATTCTCTTTTTCCTACTCAAAGCTAAAGAATACAAAATACCTGCCTCTTTCCCCTGGGGTTGGTTTTTTGTAAACCCAGACTTACAGAATCCTAGCTTATTTGTGAGTAGGGCTATTTGATACACTTTTATTATTTTTAGTCAATTAGGGTTAGGTGACTTGCCCAGGGTCACACAGCTAGTGTCAAGTGTTTGGTCTGAGGCTGGATTTGAACTCAGGTCCTGCTGACTCCAAGGCCGGAGCTTTATCCACTGCACCAGCTAGCTGCCCCTTATTGAGAGAAAGGCAGGATGTGTGCAAGTTTTTTCTGATCATGTTCTTCTTCTGTACCTGTTATAAATGAGAATGAACTATAAGTAGCTTATGTAGAGGCAAACTATATTATACATAGTGCCTAAGTCCAGCTCTTAGCACAGTGCCTGGTACGTTGGAGGCACTGAATATAAGTACCTGTTGACCAATTGAATAACTTCCAAAAATACTTATTTGGTTTTTCTGTAATTGTGGAGCTTGATGTGAAATATTTAGTGTTTTTTTTTCAATTCTCCTGTTGTTGTGTTTTGTTCTGCCAGCTGAAAAAAAAATCTTTTAGGTGAAAAAGTCCTTTGTGCTTGATAAAAGGTCATAAAGCTCAGACATTTCATTAAAAAAAGAAAACCCAGCATGAAATGGCATTATTATTGTGCCCATTTTACAGTTGAGAAAACAAATAAACAGAGGGAAAATGACTTGCCTAGGATCACACAGGTAGTGAGTGACTGAGTTTGAACTCAGGTCTTCCTGACTTCAGGCCCAGAGCTATATCCACTGAATCACCTATTTGCCTCCAGCACTCTTACTAGCACCAAATTAAAGTTACAGGCTTTCTCTTCCTCCTTTTCCACCGTGAGGGTATAATAATTTATATCAGTAAAGCTGAGAAATCACAAAGAGTGGAAAGTAATGAAAAATCATACGAAGAGATTGTAGATTTAGATAGAAAAGCTTCAAGAAAGCCTACTAAGAAAATATAGATTTAAAAGAAACAAGTCTCAAGAAGAAAGAGTTAAAACTTTTTAATTTAAAAACGTTTAAAACATTCATATTTGGGGAAATGACAAAGAAAGATGATGAACATGAAGATGGTACTTATATCAAGCTAATGTCATGTTAGCATAGTTTTTACATACATACACAAATGTCTTCAGAATCATAAAGCTTTATTCTATGCAACAGAAATTTTTCAGACATCCTTCATGTGCTAGGCCTTGAAGATATAAAGACAAAACTGACCCTCGGGGAGATTAAATTCTACTGGGGAAAAATGTGAGATGTTACTCACAGGACAAAAGTGGTTGAGAATTATTCATTTTGAGCAATGTCAAGAAAAGAAATGGCTTGAAAATATGCTTCAATATCAGTTTATGAGTTAAATTTTATTTATTTATTTTAAAAAAGTACTGCGGCGCATAGCCACCTGGTAGTGATTTTAATATTCAGAGGAAAAAACAAATAATTGTTTACTTTGTGGTGAAATGACTCAGTGTGTGAAATATAATTTTTGCAGTATATCTCTTTTATGCCAAACATAAATAAATGCACATTTATGCACTATTACAACCATAGAAAAGAAAATATTCCATTTTAAGTAGACTAATTACATTTAGTGGGCAGGTTTCCAAATTGTAAATCATACTATTTCTATAAAGTAGTCTCATATAATTACTTATGGTTTATTTTCTTGGACTTGATTTTCTAGTGATCTGGCTAAGTAAAATGCTTACCCATGTGAAATAAATGAATTTTTTATTTTGGCTATTTTTTTCAGGCAGGGTAGGGGGAAAATCACAAAACCCGAAAAATAATTGAATTAATATATACTATTTCTTTTGAAGAGCTCAACTAGTTGTTATATTGAACTCATTTAATACTGTGTCATAACAATACTGAGACTCCTCCCTACAGACCTGGGAGAATCGAGGTCAAGTTTTGCTTCTGAAACATGCCATGTGACCTTGGGCAAGTCGCTTAACCTCTTAGTGCTCTAGGCAGCTCTTCAAGACTGTAAATTGTAGGGAAGGTACTGACCTACTTTGGTAGAGAGAGTTTCCCTATGTGGGTGTAGCCTGTATCAATGAAAAGGTAGTTTACCCTTACAGATGGGTAAACATAATTATATAGGAATGAATTTGTGGAGGTTAAAGAACTGTATTAGATTTCCTGAGTCCAAATTTGGATCTCATTTTAGTTAATTGTGTTATTGGGCAATCTTTTAGCCTGATAAATCAATTTACTTTGCTACATCAAAAATTTTTTCTTACTATATAGAATCAGGGCTCCTTTCTAATTGTTCAACGAATGACTGAATGGCTTCTAGGATTTTAATAGTGAAGTGGTATTATGGCTTTATACTTTTTGTTTATGTAAATTTAACAAGAAAGAGACATTTCAGCAACCAACTACATTATTCTTTAACTTTACCAGAATTAGATTAATGATTTAAACTTTTTGGACCTCATTTTAAAAAATATATAAAATGAGATTGATAAATGTTTCCCTTGGGTTGTTATAAAAATCAAATGAGGTAATGGATATTAAGGAAGTACTCTGGAATATGATAAAAGAAATGCAATTTTAAAAAAATTGTTATGTAATTTTCTGGACTATTTTTATCTGTTTTAAATTTTTTCTGGCACTTTTGCCTTTTTTTCTTCATTTAGAAGCACTGGATTCCCCATCCCTCATTAGGCTTTTTTTCCCTCTCGCCTTTATGACTTTTAGTACACTCAAAAGAAAGGTTAAATGAAATTAAAAATTTTCTCAACTCATTCTCTGAATATCTTGAAAAGGGTACCTGTTTTTAATGCAGTAGCTCTCAGAATGCATATGAGTTCCATCTGAGAGACTGCAAGGTGAGATAGAGAGCTGGCTTCAGGGTTAGGATTACCTACCTTTGATCTAGTTCTGAAAACGTCCTGGCTGGGTGACCCTGGGAAAGTTATTTAACCTCTTTGTGCTCCAAGAAAATCTCAAAGACCTTAAATTGCGAAGGAAGGTACTACTTTGCATTTGTAAAGGATGTTTCATTACTTCCTTACTGGGAATATCAGTGAAATCACAGGTTCTAAAAAACAAACAAAAACACCCTAAAACAAAACCAAGTTCAGTGAGAAATGCTTTCCATCTTTTTCTTGTGCTCTGACATCCAGAGTCTTTAATCATTTCCTATTTGTTCTGTTCTGATGCATTCAGTATCACTAGTTCCCTTCAAGAACACTGCTTTTCAAATCAGTGATTTTCCGTAGTCTCAGTAAAATTCTCAGAAGTTGACTACTTGTTAAACTAATTGTTTGCCTGTATACCAAATTTAGAATGTCAGATCTCAAAGTAAATTCTAAGTACAGTGATGTGAAGGAAAAAGTACTTAGATTATTAAAAATGATTAGAGAAGTTTCTGCAAGTTAATCTTTTTCTTTTTTTTGGCCAGGAAAAAATGTCTTTTAAAAAATTACATAGAAATGGTATTTAGGGGTGGGTGTAGTAAACCTCCATACAGGGTGCTGTGGAATTGGGGTGCCAAAATAGACTTTGTGTGGGTGCTGATACTTGAGTTGTGTGTCTATGAATTTTGTATTTAGCGTACCCAGAGTTTCGCTTCTGTCCCAGGTTGGGCTACAGCAGCAACACTGACGTACTGTGGGAGTTTGTTGGCAGAGGGTTTTTTCAACACTCTACCTTTCCCCCTCACCCACAAGTCTCTGGCAACCTCAATGTCTTCATTGGAAGTAAACCTTTCATTGAACCAATGATGGGCATAGAGCACAATTTTGGCAAAGACTGGCCTCAGTTCCAGAGGGAGAATATTTTCAAACTACAGAAGGCAGTGCCTTCAGTTTGATTCCGACCATTTGGATTCAAACCCTGTCTCTGTCCGTGTCACGTTGGGCAAATTACTTAAGCTGTTTGGGCCATAGTGTCCTCATCTGTAAAACGAGAAGGGTAGACTACCTCTCTCATGATTCTTTTCCTTCCCTAATTCTGTCTTCCTGGGCCTTAGTTTCCTTATCTGTAGAATGAGTGACTAGGTGACTTCTGAGTTCTTTTGTCTCTAGCCATGATTCTGTGATTATAGCTCTAAATATTGGTGTCCAGTTAAGAAATGAAAAATAAAAAAAATCAAGTCTCTGTATATTGTCCCTGGCCACCTTTCATGGATTAAAATGTGAATTCAAGGGAAAATCCTAGCTTATTCCTTAAAAAACTGTAAATAATTGGACAATCTACTCAACCTTCAAAAAGAACCAATTCCATTTATACTTGGTAACCTTAGTATGTCCTCATAATATTGATGATGATGATAATTTCCTTCATGGGTGTGGTAATCTAAGTTTACAAAGCATTTTCATATTTGTTAAAATATTTGAACCTAAGGATATTAAAAGTCCTGTAAGGCCAACTTTAATGTATGATATTTAATGAACATTTATTAAATGCCTACTGAAAGCAAGGAACCATGTTAGGTGCTAAGGATATTAGAAGTGTCTTATTGATTGAGGGAAAATGCAAGCATAGAAATAATTGATATCAGGGACAGTGAAAGAAGTACAAAAATAATTCCAGGCAAAGAACTATGAGAAACTTAGATTACTTTCACACAACAGTGAAGTTGGGGGGCAGGTCATGGTAACAAAGAAGACCCTCATGTAGGAGGTGGCATCTGAGTGAGGTCTTGAAGAGAAGGAATAGTTCAATGCATGATGGTGGGGAGAATCCATCCAGGCATAGGGAATAATACTGTGAGCAAAGGCCATAGGTATAGGAAGAGACAAGATAAAAATGGGAATGGAGAATAGTTCAGTTTGGCTAAAATATGTAACATACCAAGAGAAAATAGTATAAGAGAAGCTAGAAAGGTAGGTTGGAGGTCAGTTGTGGAATGTTTTGAATGTCAGGGTCCAGCAATCCAAGAAATAAATTCTTGTTGGATTGGATTGCCTAGTCTTCTAAAATAAACTTGAAGGGAGATTATTAAAGAATGCTGTCAGACTCTGGGATATTCAGCCCCACTGCCCTGAACCAGTAACCCTGATTGCAGTCGTTTACTATATTTAAGTTCTTAATAAGCCTTGACTTTCTATTATTTCAAATGTGCTGTTCAGAATAGGCTACTGTTAGGATTTGACTGTAAGAGTTGACTATAGGACTTGACTGTGTCTGATTTTGATTTCTGAGGACAGCATGAAATTAAGGGAAAAGAGTTATATTTAAGGATCATATTGTATGATTAATTTAATTACCTATTCTCTTTGTAATTTAGCTACTCTAATAATATTCTCTAGAAAAACAGAGCATCTCAGAATACTTTTATAAACAGTAATAATGCCTTTCATGAACCTTATGAGGCAGGAACATATGGGAGCAAACAAAGATGGAGGTTTAAAAAAATGATTTGATGGGGCTAAACAAAGTGTCATTGAAGTCAAGAATAATGATTTTTTATTCTTGGCACCTTTCTTCAAAAAATATGCCACACTAACAGTACATAGATAAGCTATATCAAATTGTTTGCCTTCTCAATGAGGGGGGAAGGGGAGGGAAGGAGAGAATTTGGAACTTAAAATTTTAAAAAGCAAATGTTTAAAAATTGTTTTTATAAGTAATTGGGGAAAATAAAATATTAAATTTTTAAAAAGATCAGGGAGTGGACTATTTGGTTAGCAGCTGTGTGAAGCTTTCTAGTACAAATGAAAATAGCTTACTTGGGGCCCATATGGCCAATTTATGTATTTGTGAGCATCTAAGTGTTTTAAGGCTCCTCATTGCTAGAGTAATGCCTGCCAAATAAAAATATTCCAAACAAATAATAATAACCAAAAAAAGGAAATAACAAAATAATAAAAAATTTACCATACTGGATTTAAAAAAACAAAACATATAGAGCTGTACATTTTTGTATCCTTTTAAAAATACCTATAGAATGGCAGTGTTGCATAATAACTACAGTGAAGATCAGGAAGCTAGAAAGGCATTCAAGGCCTGCCTCTGTGTGACTTTGGGCTGGTCACTTAAAATCTCAGTGCTGTAGACAACACTTTGAGACCATAAGTTTCTGAGAAGGTGTCAATCCACATCAATGAGAGGGAATTTTTTTCAGCTGAGAGTTCCCTATATTGTGGAAATCACAAGTCTAGACATTTTTTTCTAATCTTAAAAATATGTAATCTTATTGTCGTAGAAAGCAGCTGTTGTAGTCAGATTTTTCCAGTAAAATTATATGTGTTTGAATCCTTTGATATTTGAGATTGTAATATTAAAGAAGCAAAAGCTGCTTCTTAAAGTCATATTACACTAAAAGAACAATTTTCTCTTCTGGAAGGTCAAGTCAACATGTCGAGATGTATTTATTAAGCAACTACTATGTGTCAGGTACTGTGCTAAGCACTAGGGGAAAACAAGGCAAAAAATAGCCCCTGCTGTCAAGAACCTTGCAGTCTTATTGGGGAAGAAAATGTATAAATAACTGTGGACAAGTGACATATACAAATTGGAGATAATCTTGGAAGGAGGCACTGAGATTAAGGAAGGCTGGGCAAAGCTTTTCATAGGAGGAGGGACTTTACCTGAGGCTTGAAAGGAGTCAGGAGGCAAAGATGAAGAGAGAGGGTTCCAGGTATGGGGGAATAACCAAGGAAAATTCCCAGAGTCTGGAGATGCAGTTTCTTGTTCAAGAAAGCCAGAGCCATTGGACTACAGGGGATAGGGAAAGAAGTAAGGTAAAAACTTTGGAAAGGCGGAAAGGGGCTGAGTTCTGAAGGACTTTAGATGCAAAAGAACACTTAAATTTGATCCTGCAGGCACTAGGGAGCCCCTGGAGTTGATTGAATAGGGGTGAAGTGGGGAGATACTTGAGGCAAGGACACCAACTAGCAGGCTCTTGTAATAGAGGTGACTAGTTCTGTCCTCGTGTTCCTGTCACGTTTTAAGTTGGGGGTTACCCCACTAACATTTAAAAGGTTGGTTTTTTTCTTCTACCTTTTTTGTCTGCAATAAATTACCCACCAAGTGAATGGCATTCCACAGCTGGCCTTTCTATGAATGTGTTTGATTTTGAGAACAAAAATTAGCATGTTTTCCCTTAATTTGTGATTTTTTTCCCCTTATGTTTTATCTCTCAGTGTCATAAGGAAGATTCTTTGTCAACTAGCACTCTAAAGTGCTAGTTAAATCTGAGTTGTCATTAAAATTATGCTTTTTAAGAAAAATACTATTTTTAAAATAGCTAAGCATGACCTTTACTAGTATTATTATTCATTTTAAATATATAAAATCATATAGTTAATATTATATTTAAAGCAACATAAATGCCTACATACAATTAAGTAGGTACATTTGTTACTAATCTTTAATTACTAGTTTTAACCTAGTTCTCTATCTCCATTCATGTTTCATATTTCTCGACTGAATCTCTTAACTTAAAACCTTCCTGGGGCATGTTTATTGTATCACAATCTCTAGTCATATTGTCATTGAAAACCTTTTTGGTCAGTCACCTTCCTTCATTTATTAGCTATTTTTGTTTAGCTTGGACCTGTCAAAAGAGAGACTTGAATGCATCAATCAATCAGCAAGTATTTATTAGATGTCCAATAGATTCAAAGCATGAAACAATCCCTGTTCACAAGGAACTTACATTCTAATACTTCCAAATTAATCCTAGAGAAAATTATAGAGGTCTGTAATCCACTTATAAGTTTCCATACTCTTTATTTGCCACTCATAAAAAGCAAAAAGAGAAAGGAAAAAAAGCCTGAATTAATTCTGCATGTTTGCAAATTTGTGGTGAAAATCCCATGATTGTTTTTCCTCCCGTATCTGAAGAGAGCACTTCATCTCACTTGCTTTAAGCTTCTTTCTTCTCTGCTCAAAAAATTCAGCTGTCTGTTTGGTTACATTGAATTCACATTGAATTGTTTCCAGAGGAGTCATCATACTCAGGACAAAGTACCTTTGCTACCTGACACAGATTGCCTCCTATAAAGAGCTTAGAGTTATAACATCCAAATTATTGGGAGGCAATTTTTAAAAACATTTTAAAAACCCCATAAGGTTTTGAATTGAGTTGAAACAACCCTCTGATACGTTTTTTTCATCTTGTTTTCTTATATCTTCTATATAGTGACTCCCCAGATTCTCCAGCTATGAAAGCCTCTCAGAAATTTTTCTTCCTTCTTTTCTGTTCTCTCTTTCCCATCCTTTCTCATCTTTCTGTTCCACTAGGGGAGCTAAACCAAACAAATAACAACAATAAAAGAGAGGCATTCTCCCCCCCCCCCCGGCTATGTGTAGAATTCATAAATGTACTGTGTATTGAATTTCACCTTTGCTGATGTGGGTAACTTAAAAGCGTGTTCACTTGCCCTGAGAGATCTATTCACTTTGACTGAAGTTATGAAATATAATAAACTTATTCTTTTATTAGCTGTCAACGAATATGAGACCTTTTATGTTCAAAGACCACTTCTTTTTCTTCAGCAATTTAGAACCTGACTCAGGAAGTATGGTGGAAGTGACACATTTTCCCACCACTCCATTTTCTGTATTTGACATTCCTTATGGGAATGGTCAGAGTGCAAGTAACTTAAAAGAAACTAATGTCCCTTGCAGGTGCTTTGACTTCAAGAGCAGGAGTGATACAAGTATAAGCCTTGCTGGACAGCTCCTTGAGGGAAGGGACTGTCTCTTATCTCTTTTTGTATCCCTGGTGGTTAGCACAGTACCTGGCAAATAGTAGGTACTTGGTAAATGTTGAACAATTAAATAGAAAAGAAGAGGAAATATATTCTTCTCCCACTCTGTCCCCACCAGCAGCAGAAGATTATGTGCTTTTTGAAATGTCTATTTTAGCTTATTCTTGTAGAATTTTGTATGAGACTGTTCTTAAAAATGTGTTGGTTTTTTAAATTCTAGGCAAACTCAGACTCTTACAGTGAATCCTGTTAGGAGGAGGTCTTCATCAAGGATGTCTCTGGTAAGGAGGTGAAGTTATCTTAAATTTGATTTTAAAAAATCTTTTTACTGTAGTCAGATTAAAAAAGCCTGCTTCCTCAGTGAAATGAATATATGTGTTTCATTTATTACTATTTGTCAAATATTATTCTTTTGACTTATTAATTATTGTTAATGATTAGGTTTTGAAACACTAGAGGTTTTGGCTAAGAAGGAACTAGATCTTTCTGGAAAATATGTGATTGAGGGTCATTTAACAGCTAATTTGGTGTATGAGCAACCATGAATGAAAAGAAAACAAAACTCCTGGGCCAATTGTATAATCCCAAACTTAATCAGATATAGGTTATTTTATAATGCTATACAGCATGCTCATTTCAACTAGCAGTTAGTGTGAGGAATGTAATCGACAATAAAAGATTCAGTGTTGTTTTATGAAAAGGGCTACCTCTTGTTATTTTTCAAGTGCTTAAAAAATAAACAGCTCCCTTAATATTTATAAGTGGAAAAGCATAGGGAAAGATAGAGTTCCTGAGAAGAAACTTGAGTCAGTTACAACAACTCTTCAGTAAAACATGGAGTATTTAATATTTTGTTTTGTTTTGTAAAATTTCGTTTCTTAGCCTAAGCCACAGCCATATGTAATGCCTGCACCACCTCAGTTACACTACAATGGACATTATACAGAACCATATACTTCTTCCCAAGGTAAGTCTGCATGATTTCCAAGAGGCTTCATTTAACAAATGTCACTAAGAGTAAGAAGACTTAGATAACTACCAGTCAGGGCTGTTATTGGCCACTGTGGTTATAGGCATCTCCAAATCAGAGAACTAAAAGAATTATACTCAAGTTCTTTTCTCCCTGTCCTGCCCAAATCATATGCAGTTAATTTGTTGGAAACTCAGAGGAACACAATACAGTATGAAATGTATGTTGAAATATACCTCCACTTTCTGTTTTAACACAATATAAAGATTTCAGTCATAATAATTATTATGGAATCATGGGTAGAAAGAATGTAGGATTTGGAAACAGTCCTTGTGTTTGCCATGCTGCTTACCACCTTTATGAAACATTCTGGGCCTTGGATTCCTCCTTTGGAAAATGAGGGGGAGGGCAGAGTTGAACAAAATGACTTCCAAGTCACCTCCCAGCTCTAAAATGCTATAATTTTTAAGAATCATTGGCCTTAGAGGTCATCTATTCCAGCTTACTCACATGTAAGTTAAATGGATTACATACAGTAAAGAGGAAATTTGGTTTTATGGAAAGAGAACCGTCCTTAAGCCAGACCTGCATTCAAGTTTGGGCCCCACCACTTAATAGCTTTGTCACCAGGAATAGTGGTATTTGTATTTCCTCTATCACAATATTGTTGTAAGGATCAAAGGTGATATTGCACATGAAAATATTCTCTAACTGTAAAGTGCGATGTAAGTATCAGTTGTTATTATTATCCTCATCTAATTATTATTATAGAAAATTCATTCTTTTCATTTACTTTGAAGGTGTTTAGATGGAAATGCCCCTAGCACAAGTCACCGTCTTGATCTTGTTCTTTTATATTTCATGTTCTGTAGATAACCACATAGGTGGGTAATTGCTTTTTGAAGTTGGATAGAGTATGAGAACATGAGCTCATCTTCTGTGTAGGCTTACCAAGTGCACTCGCAACACAACTAGTAGACAGAGTGATGATGTGTTACTCGTCTCTTGTTCCTGTGTGATGTTGTTTTTGTTATTCCGAGCTTGACAGTCAATATCAAAAACTTGAACATTCGGAATACATAGGACAAAGAAGGATTAACCTATTAATTCAGCTATTCAACTTCTCATGAATCTGTTAATACAGATAGCATTTTTATGACAAAAAAATTGTGTTGTTTGTATCTCCTTCTCAACGTTCTATTTTCTCCTGTGCATTAAAAAAGAATCTACAGTGACCCTCTTCTTTCTTTTCTCCTTTTGAGCATCATTACTATTAGTCTTTTCCTTCTTAAATTTCTCCTGTACTAATGAAAAAAATATGCAACCCTCCCTTGTAACAAATACTGTCCCTCAAGTCCTTCAACTCTGCATTAACGTTAGGTGGTTTCCCACATGATTTTTATTTCTTCCACTAGGTTTCTGTATTTTGAAAGCTTTTCATTAAATACAATATAGAGACTGAGTATTTTGTAAGGCAGTCTGTATTTAAAACAAAATAAAACATCATATTTAAGTTTTTAATGGATCAATGTTATATTTGGCAGATTATGGGCAATACCTCAGTCTGTAATAATGCTCTGGTTCCAGTACAGTTCATAGTTTAAAGTCTCAAGGATATTTTGAGATCTATGTATTTAGTATGGGGATTTGTCATTTGTCAGCCTGTGAAAGAGTGAGCACTTCTGATGTATAATTCTAGCCACTAAGTTATGTCATGTCTTGTTATATATTTGGAAGGGGCTATACTTTAATAGCCTGTATTGATATCTTTACAGGGTGATACCATTTCCTCAAATAAAATGCATTGGTCATCAAGTCCAGGCTCCTTAAGGATAGCCCTTTTGTAATTTTTGGTGGCATTGAACTGGTCTTGATTTGTTATCATAAACCTCTCCATTCTTTTTTTTTTAAACCTCTCCCTTCTTAAGGAAATAAATTCACATGATTCAACCACTTTTTTTGGTGCTTCTTGGTCAACATGTTGGCTATATTCATGCAAATGTTGATCGTGGAGGGTTTTTGGATTCCACAGATCTGAAGGCCAGTCATATTTCTGTTACATTTAAGTAATCTAATGGTGTGTATCTGTTACCAACCTTTACCATTGCTCAGTGAAGGGATACCTGTTTGTTTCAAAGGTATTTCTCTAGGTGTTTCACCTGTTGATCATACTCTGAGCATGCCTATTCTCTTCTATCCTTTTGATGAGGAGATGTGTTTTGTTAATAATGTACAAGTTTTTGTTAAGCTACTTTCTTAATCTGTTATGTTCTACTTTGTTATTTCAAAAGTGTATATTAAGATAGGCATCATGTAGATGTTAATTGCTTTAAATGTAGTCTTCCAGTCCAGTTTTGGTTATAGGATGTGATTACTGGTTTAGCTTTGTGAAATAGTGGGTAGGTCGCTGGACTTGGAATCAGGAAGGTCTGAGATCAAATCTTGCCTAAGGCACTTTACTAGCTGTCTGACATTGGGCAAGGCAGTAATGCTGCCAGCCTCAGTTTCCTCATCTGTAAAATAAGGAGTTATTGTGAGGATCAAATGTGAGAATATAGGCAAAGTGTTTTGCAAACCTTAAAGCTAGATAAATGCCATTATTGTAATTGACCATGATACTTATTAAAAATCAGAATGTACCTATGTACAATAAATCAAACACTTTTCAAGTGATAATATACCTGTATGTACATACAATTTGCATGTAGATATTATATTTTTGCTGCTTTTCACCTCTTTGCAAATTTCAATAACTGCAAAGTACAAGAAGATTGTGCCTTTGTATTTGACTCAAGAAGTATTTTTCAGAGATAGTTCTTAAAAAAACATAGGTAATATTTTTTCTCCCAGAGTTCATACACTTTAATTCTAAAATTGGTCTGGTTTTTAAGTGATGAGTGTAAGTAGTTGGTTTCAAGAGACTATCAAACTCATGTCATGAGAATTTATTACTTTGACTCATTGAACGCTTCTTAGACATGTGGCAGTGTTTGTCAGTCTTACATGATTGCTGTCCTTCCTATATGTCTTTTGTATTCTTTTCTGATATCTTCCTTTTATGCAAGACATGTTTTTTTATCTGTCTGTCAGTCTACCTATCTAATCTATAAATCACTTATTTTCTCTGCTCTTATAGACATACTTTTGCCAAACATTCTTTCGTATGTATTTTTGTTTTAGAGGAGCACATTTGACTTTGATTGGCTGAGAACAAATACTATTACTACTACTACTACTACTACTACTACTACTACTACTACTACTACTACTACTACTACTACTACTACCACCACCAACACCATCACCACCACCACCATTTAAATAGTGTTTACTGTGTGCTAGGCACTGTACTAAGAGCTTTACAGTTATTATTTCATTTGATCCTCATAACAACCCTGGGAGGTAGGTGCTATTACTATCCTTATTTTACAGATGAGGCAATCTCAGGTTAAGTGACTTACCCAGGGTGACTTAGCTAGTGAGTGTCTGAGGCCAGTTTTAAACTCAGGTCTTCCTGATTCCAGGATAATGCTCTATTTACCATTCTACCTACTTGCCTTTTAGTTGAAATTGAAATGGCTTAGATTAAATAATAAATCCTTGTTAATTTGGACTTCAGTTGAACTTCAGGGAGAATTTTTAAGGGCACAAGCAGTTTTCAAGAACTTTAAAAAAGTCTCAGTTTGCAAGCAAACAGTGTAGCTAAAGCATAAGCAGAGGCTGATAACAAGGAGGCTGATGCTAATTAAAGATCATCTCAAATGTTTTTTTCAAAGCATGACATCCACTGGGCTACACACATTTGGTTAGCCTTCTTACTGTATGTGCTCAAAAAGTTTTAAATCTGTTGTTAAGAATATTTTATAACTTGATCTTTTAGTTTAGACAATATATTCTTCTAGTTAGTCTGAATTAATGAAGATTGGGTATGTTTAGTCCCAGAACAACTGGTTCTGCCCACTTTTTCTTGGTATTTCTTTTGGTAGTTATGAATTTGACTATAGCAAGAACTCAAATCCAGGTTCTCTGACTCAAATCAAGCACTCTTTCTGTTCCACTATATTGCCTCATAGATCTTGACTAATTTTCTACATCCTGCCTATTTACAGAAGATTTCATTTGTATCCTATAGATAGAGGAGTATAGTAATGAATAGATAAAATAACAAGGAAAAACAAGCACTGAAGACCCTTAGTTATTCTTATTCATTGCTGCTGTTCTCCTTAATAGCAACGTTCCTTTAGAATAAAATCCACAAGTCACTAGATTTTGACCTTAATATTTGTGGAACACTCAAACCCCAAAAGAATGCTTTTCAAACTAGTCCTTCTGTGAGTAAAATACATTCCCACTGAGCCCCTTGCCAAGTGCTAGATGTCTACTAATTAATAGAAAGTCAGATACAAGTTTATGAATTTCAGAAAAGGAAGATGGTTTCTGAAGTGGTTGCTCTATTGTTTTAGCAGCAAGTTTATAACATTTGTAGAAATTATATCTTTTTTGTTTTTTGTGGGGGGGATAAAGAAATTATTACAGTTTGTGGCAGTTTTTGATTCTTGAATCTCAGCATTGAGTCTTTACATTGATGCATTTTAAGTATCTAGCTTGAAATAAATCTTAAATATTTTCTTTTCAGATAACCTCTTTGTGAGCAACCAGAATGGATATTATTGCCATTCTCAGACAAGTCTAGATAGAGCGCTTGACTACAATGGAAGAATCCGTAATGGGAGTGTCTACAGTGCCCACAGCACGAACTCTTTAAATAACCCACAGCCCTTCTTGCAACCCTCACCAATGTCCTCTAACCCAAGCATTACTGGAAGTGATGTTATGAGACCTGACTATGTTCCATCCCATAGACATAGTGCTCTGATACCACCATCCTATCGCCCCACCCCAGATTATGAAACGGTGATGAGGCAGCTTAACAGAGGAGTGAGCCATGCTGACAGGCAGAGCCACTCACTGAGAAATCTCAATATTGGCAATTCTTATGCTTACAGTAGGCCCGATGCTTTGGTCTACAGTCAGCCTGAAATCAGAGAACGTGCTCAGTTTACCTCTCCACAGTCAGTGCATTATCCATTCAATCTAAATTACAGCTTTCATAGCCAGTCTCCTTACCCCTACCCTGCTGAGAGGCGACCTGTTGTTGGAGCCGTAAGCGTGCCAGAGTTGACTAACGTACAGCTTCAGGCTCAGGATTATCCAGCTCCCAACATCATGAAAACACAGGTTTATCGACCACCCCCACCTTATCCATATCCACGACCTGCTAATAGCACTCCAGACTTATCCCGACATCTATACATCAGCAGTAGCAACCCAGATCTCATCACGAGGCGAGTCCACCATTCAGTGCAGACGTTCCAAGAAGACAGTCTCCCAGTTGCCCATTCTCTGCAGGAGGTCAGTGAACCCTTGACTTCAGCCCGACATGCTCAGTTACAGAAGAGGAACAGCATTGAGATAGCTGGATTGACCCATAGTTTTGAAGGAATAAGACTTAAAGAGAGAACTATGTCTGCCTCTGCAGCTGATGTGGCAGTGCCCCGGGTCATAGCGGCTAGCTCTCAGCCGAATGTTTTCATAGAAAGGACAAAACAAGAAGAAAACGAAGAGCAGGAAAATGTGAGGTACGGTCATAAGAAATCTCTTTCAGATGCCACCATGCTGATTCATAGCAGTGAAGAAGAAGAAGAAGAAGAAGAAGAAGAAGATTTTGATGAAGAAAGTAAAGTACTCTCTCCACATCCTGATGAGACCGCACAGCGTTCCTCTGGGATAGGTGGCTACTCTAAAGAGTCTTTGCTTGGTTACCCATATGGTTCTGTTAGCAGTGGGCCCAACCCTTTGCATATTCTTGAGCCAAAGTCACATATCCTAGAGACTGAGAAGCCAGTAAGAGCCATCAGTCCAGTCCATGTGATAGTTGAAGCCCAGATACCTAGAAGAGAAGGCTTATTGACTCCATCGATGTCAGAGTCTGACCTCACAACATCAGGACGCTATAGAGTGAAAAGGGATTCTCTTAAAAAGAGGCCTGTGTTGGACATTCTTTCAGGAAAGAAGAATGTTGTTGAGGGTCTTCCTCCATTAGGGGTAAGCCATAAAATGTTTTTCTTTCTTTATAGTCTTTTTTAAACAAATAGGACTATATTTTTAAAAAATTCCCTTTGCTCTTTTCTTTGTGTGTTTTCTTATATCTTTTTAAAATTTCCCCTCCCATTTATTCTTATTTCTGTGCTGCTTTAGCTCGCTAGTTTTGGTTTTGTTTGGAAATTGAGACAAAATGATGAATCTCATAGTTTATCTTTTTGATGCCTCACGAAAGGGAATAAATTAGATGAAGAGAGAAGATAAATTAGTGAGTGACCTTCAGAATGAAATATTTTGTTCATGGAGTTTCATAGAGAAGAAAATCAAAATGCTATGATCTTGACCAGTATTTTTTTGGAGGCGGCTACCTCTGAAAATTGCCCCTTCTAACCAGGTGCTTGTAAACTGCTGAAATTTAAAGTATGTCAGGGTTGTTGGAGTCAAGGTACAGTGTGCCCACTTGTGGCTGATTGGACCAGTGTGAGCTGGAAAGGCTTTAGCACAGGTTGGGCACGTGTAGTCATGTGAACATTTGGAGTTGGAGATGTCTCTAAATTTGTGCATCTCAGGCTTCTTTTGAGCTACTGCATTTCTGCTTCATTCCTAGAGTCCAGTGCCTTCTTTGATGTGGGCCCCCCATGCTGTATAGAGCATTAGAAAATGGCCAGGTTGTATTTGTTTAGCAGAGTCTTTTAAACATGAAAGCTTCCCATGTATTTTGATGGAGTGGGAGAGGAAGCATCACACAGTAGATAAAGAGTTGGTCTTGAAGTCATGAAAGACCTGCTTTCTTCTGTGTGTTTTCTGAATGTTCAGTTGATGATTTTTTTTTTTTGACAGCATCATCAGTCTTCTGGAGTCTGGCAATGATCAGAGTTCTCTAGTTTTTCAAAGTTGTTTTCCCTTATAATGTCATAATCATTTTTATAAAAATATTTTGGGGCAACTAGGTCACACAGTGGATAGAGCTCTGGCCTTGGAGTCAGGAGGACGTGCGTTCAAATCCAGTCTCAGACATATGACACTTAACTAGCTGTGTGACTCTGGGCAAGTCACTTAACCCTGATTGCCTCACCAAAAAGGAAAAAAAATTCCTGATTCTGCTTGCTTTGCTCTGCATTAGTTCATCAAGTCTTTCTAGATTTTTCTGAATCTGTCCCTTTTGCCATTTCTTATGGTGCTACAGTATTCTTTCATGTTCACATACTATAATTTTTCAGTCATTTTTCAATTGATAGAAACCCTTTGTTTCCTGTTCTTTGATACTATAAAAAGTGCTGCTGCATGTGTGTGTGTGTGTGTGTGTGTGTGTGTGTGTATGTATATATATATATATATGTATATATATATATATACATATATATAGCTCCTTTTCTTCTTTCTTTGATCTTTTTAAGGGTATAAGCCTAGTAGTGACATTGCTACGTTAAAGAGTATGTACATGGTTTGGGGACTTTTGGGGGGATAGTCCCAAATGCTTCCAGAATGGTTGGAGCAATTTATATCTTTACCAATAGTTCATTAATATGCTTGTCTTCCCACAGCCTCTCCAAGAATCTTTGCCAATCTGAAGGGTTGGAACCTTGGAGTTGTTTTAATTTGCATTTCTCACATTAATAATAATTTGTAGAATTTTTTTCCCCCATAGAATTGTTGATAGATAACATTTTTCTTTTGAGAACTGCCTATGTATGATTTGAAACATTTTTTTGAGTTGTTGACAGTTTGAGAATTGTCTAATATGATTTGGCACATATTTTTCATAGAGTTATAGACTGTTTACAGGTCTTCTCTTGAGAACTGCCTACATATCTTTTATCTATATCATTTCTCTAACTGTAGAATGACTCTTGATTTTATGTATTTGAATCAATTTTCTATGCATTTCACATATCAACCTTTAACAACCTTTAGTTTGTTTCTTAAGGGAAATTTCTTGAAGTATTTTGCTTTTTTCTTTGAAATATCAATTTTTAAAACGTAACATTTAGGCAATGGATTATGGTGCAGTGGGTAGAGCCAGAGTCAGGAAGACCTAAGTTCAGATTTGCTGAGATACTTACTGACTCTGGACAAGTCATTTAACTTCTATTTGTTCCAGCTTCCTCATTTGTAAAATGGGGATAACAACAGCACCTACCTCCCAAGATTATTGGGAGGTTCAAATGAGATAATTATAAAGTACATTTAGTTAGCACAGTCCCTGGCACTTAGTAAGCACTATATAAATGTTAGCTGTTATCAACTGTCATCTAGAGATAATGACTTCCTTGCAAAACCAGTGAAATTCTTATGATATGGTATGTATTAGTGAAAGTAGACTTTGACTGTTTTTGACACAACTTACCTTACTTAAATGATACAAAACTATTTTATTTCCAATCTGAAGCAATTTGTAATGTTTCAGCAATAATTTAGAACCACAAGATGTTGGTACTATAAAGGGTCAAGTAATCCATCATCCTCATTTTATATAGGAAGAAACTGAGTTGTGGAAATGTTATAACTTGCTTAAGGTTGAGCAACTAGTTAATTATCAAATAGAGTAGAGCTTTCCTAACTCTTACAGGGGATGAGGGGTAGGATAGGAAGAGAAGGGAATAAACATTTATACTTGTTCAATAATTGTAGTTGTTTCCAACTTTTTTTTTACCCCATTTGGGGTTTTCTTGGCAAGGATACTAGAATGGTTTGCCATTTCCTTCTCCAGCCCATTTTACAGATGAGGAAACTTAGGCAAACAAGGTTAAGTGACTTACCCAGGATCACACAGCTAGTAAATAGCTAAGGCTGGATTTGAACTCAGGAAGATGTCTTCCTGACTTCAGGCCTGGTCTTCTCTATCCACTGGACCACCTAGCTGCCCTAACCATTTATATAGCACTTACTATGTGACAGGCACTGTGCTGAATGCTTTACAAACATAATCTCATTTGATTCTCACAACAGCCCTGGGAGGTAAGTGATGTTATTATTCCCATTTTATGGTTGAGGAAAGTGAGGTAATGGAAACCAAGTGACTTGCCAAGGTTCACATGGCCAGTCATAGCCGGAGGCCATATTTGAACTCAGGTCTTCCTGACTCCAAGTCCAGTGCTTTCTCCACTGTGCCACCTAGCAGCTGATTCTTACGAGATTGTAGGATAATTTAGAAGGGACTTTGGAGATCATTGAATCTAATCTTTTCACTTTTTACTGATAAGGAAGCTGTAGCTCAGAGAGGTTAGATGGAGATTTGCTTAAGGGCACACAGCTAGTAAATGGCTAACGTGAAATTTGAAACAAGGTTTTCCTGGCTTCTAAGTTGAGTACAATTTCCATGGTCTCATGCTGTTTCTAGTCAAATGTTTTTCCTTTTTTTTGGGGGGGGGGAGCTTTTTGGTGAGGCAGTTGGAAGTGACTTGCCCAAGGTCACACAGCTAGTAAGTGTCAAGTGTCTGAGTCCAGATTTGAACTCAGGTCCTCCTGACTCCAAGGCCAGAGCTCTATCCGCTGAGCTACCTATCTGCCCCTCAAGCGTTTTTTTTTTTTTAGGTATTTCTTTTAAAAGTTAGATTATACTAGCTTTTTGAGTTGTATACCAACTTACGCTTCATATAAATTTGTGGTCACAATATCAGTGAGTTGAACCTTGCTCCTCACCCCCACCCACTGCCCTCTTCCAAAAGGTTGCATCTATAGAATAATTTTAATTTTATTCTTATAGCTCTACCTTCCTAAATGCGATGCTCATGAGTTGTTCCCATGCTAATATGCCTTGAACTTGTCTAGGCTAGGGATTTGTAAAGGGGGTTCTGTGGATAGATTTCAGGTGAACTTGGATGGGGAAAAAATCATCTTTATTTTTACTTGCCTATAGCCAAAATTTGGCATTTTCTTATATTATTTAAAAAAAAACCCAATCATGATTCTGAGAAGGGTCCATAGGCTTCACCAGACTGCCAAAAGGTTCCCTCTAGATAAAGAAATGTTAAGAATTTCCAGGCTAGATTGCTTGGTTTAAATCGTGTTGCTCCTTTGCTTTGACATCTCATTTCTCCTTTGCATTGTTTGATGATCGTAGCTCCAGAACCGTATAGGCTTTTGGAGACTATCTGGCTCAACTCCATCATTTTGCAGATAAAGAAACCGAGGCCCACGTGGGGAAAGTGAGATTGCACAGAGTCATATTGGTAGTGCCTAGAGGCAAGATTTGAATCCTAAGGAAGCTACTGATAAATTATTTATTTATTTATTTGTGTTGTGAGAACTCTTGATTTTTATTTTTTGTTTATTTTTTTAAATTTTATTAATTTATTTTGATTTATCAACAATCACTTCCATTTGCTTTTGAGTTAAAAATTTTTCTCCCTCTTCCTCCCCACCACCCTCTCCAAGACAGCGCACAGTCTCATATAGGCCTTACATTTACATTCCTATTAAACGTATTTTCACATTAGTGAAGTTGTAAGTAAAAATTAAAACCAATAGGAGGAACCATCAGAAAGATGAAACAAAACTCAACAGAAGATAAAAATAACTGATAGTGATTTGACTTCCATAGTTCTTTCTTTGGATGTGGACAGCATTTTCCATCCTGAGGCCTCTGGAGATGTCTTAGATCCTGGTAATGCTGAGAAGGGTTCAGTTTAACAATATTAGTCAGTTTTTCCAGGTTTTTCTGGTCAGCCTGTTCATCATTTCTTATAGCACAATAGTATTCCATTACATTCGTATACCACAACTTGTTCAGCCATTCCCCAATTTCCAATTCTTTGCCTCCACAAAAAGAGCTGCTATGAATATTTTTGTACATGTGGGTCATTTTCTTATTTGTTTGATCTCTTTCGGATACAGCCCTAGAAGTGCTATTGCTGGATCAAAGGGTATGCACATTTTTGTAGCCCTTTGGGCATAGTCTAAGGAAGCTATTGATAAAAAGAAAGTCCCCATATACTCCAAAATATTTATAGCAGCACATTTTGGTGTTTGTTAAGAATTGAAAACAAAATAGATGCCCATCAATTGGGGAATAGCTAAACAAATCATGATATATGAATGCAATGAAATATTACCGTGCTATAAGAAATGATGTGTGTGATGAATATAGAGAAGCCTGGAAAGAGCTATATGTGTGAACTGATGCAGAATGAAGTACGCAGAGCCGAGAAAACAATAGATACAGTCATACAACAATGTTAATGGAAAGAACAACCATACACCAAAAAAATCAAAAGTGAATGTAATAAAATTGTAAAGATCAAACAGGATTCAAATAAAGAGACATGAGAAGGCTTCCCCAACCTACACCTTCAGGGAAGTGGGAGGTCCACAAGTGTTGCACATTGCACATGTTTTTGGACTTTTTTAAGGTGTCAATCAATTATGCTGATTTTATTTTCCTCTCTAAAAATACTATTTGTCATATAGGATGTCTCTCTGGGAGGGAGAGGGGGAAGGATACTTGGGATAACTATGGTGATATAAGAAACAGAACATATCAGTCAAAGCTTATAAGAAAAAGGGGCCTTAGAGAACTGCTCTATCTGACTATTTCACAGTTGAGGAGAGGTTATTTGTCTTTCCCAAGGTCACAGGCAAAATTTGTGGCAAAGCTTGGACTAGACTTCATGTCTACTGACTCCAAGTAGCATTCTTTCTATTATATATTCTCTGCTCATCTCCCTACCTTGTGCCCTTTTTTTGAGGAAATCAAACACATTTAAAGATATTATCTCCATCCCCATACTAACTTGCAGTCTTATGTTATTATACCATTTTAGAGAGAAAGCCCTTGAGTCCTAGAAAGGCAAAGTAACATATTTTGGCCATACAACAAATCTATAGTTGCATTAAGACTAGAGGGCAGTATGCCCAACAGTATCTCCAATACAGAGAAAGAAAATGAACAAAAGTAGTGGTTGTTCCCCACCTCCCCTCACACATAATATTAATTTTTTAAAAAAATTTCAGAATGGAGTTGCTTTCAAATTTATTTTAAATAAAATCTTTACCAAAATCAAAACTCTTTCCATTAGATATGGCTATATTATCCTTATCAAGTTTTGAAATTCTGGAGATATTATGTCTCGTGGAAGAATGCTGTTGGCTCATCTCACCTTTCATTGCAACATAGCAGTGCAACCAGGTGCATTTCAAAATCTCATATCTGGAATGAAGCTGGGTCAGGGCTTTGGCCTTGGGAAGAATGTGGCATCCACCTAATGACTCTGACTTAAGATGTGAAGCACAAACATGTAAACAGAAACAGTGGAACATTCCCTTTGGTTTGTAAATCTGAAGAGAAACATTTAGTCTCATCTGTCTAGCATTAAGTTCATTGAAATTTCATTTTTCTCTTTGGAGAGGTATGTGTATGTACAAACATATACATATGTGTGTGTTATGTTATTGTTATATGTTATGCATTATATGTGTGTTAAATATATCTACATTTTTTTTATAGGGAATGAAAAAGAATCGAGCAGATGCAAAAAAATGTGGTCCTCTTAAACTGGCTGCTTTAAATGGATTATCCTTATCTAGAATGCCCTTGCCTGATGAAGGAAAGGAAATGCCTACCAGAGCAACCAATGATGAGAGGGTATGTAAAAACCAGTTTGGATATAACTTCTGCTTTAATGATAACAAAATAATGTGAAAACGGATCTCCCTAAAATTTTATTAAATGCCGTGGCTTTAACAAATCAGCAGCCATCTGGAATTTTGAAATTCTGTCATTTGAGCTTCAAATTTGGGCAGAGTTAGAGATAATGTCATAGAAATTGTGAATCACTTAAAAGTGAGAATGCCTTATAAGATTTTGTTTGTGATTTTTGTTCTATACCAGCCACCTAGGACTGTCTTTATGTTTTATTTGTTTTTTTGGTGTTTGAAAGGCTGTAGCAGATGTGTATAAGGGACTGAAAAAAAAAAGAATCAAAAATGAGGCCATTTCAGTGATTTATTTTTGTAGTTCCATTCCAATAATTTTTTTCATTAAATACTATTTTTTGTAGTCTCATTTTTTATTTCAATTAAATTATTTCTTTCAAGATGGATAATTTCTTGGTAAAACTTTATTAAATAAATATCAGTCATGAGCTAGGCTAATAGAAACAAATTTGCTTATATGTCAAGGTTGTTCTAGATATTTGCTATTATTTTTTGTCTATTTTTTTCATAGCATCAAATAAAAGTATTAATTTATAACGACTGAATTAATCGTATCTTCTTCAACTTGCTCTTTTCTTGGAAAGTATTTTTCTTCGTCCTTGCTCATAGAACTAACTCTTTGTACAACATTACTGCTATAGTCTAATCTTCAATTTAAAGCAGGAAATGTTCTTTATCTTCCTAGCCATTGACTTATTTTCTGTTGCCTTTAATGTTTTATCTATGTGTTATATATCATGTTTCATAGAATATTTTTTTCAGTGGTATTTTATTTTCCTTTTTAAAATTTAATTCATTTTTTGGGTTATATTTTATGTTTACAACTGTCTCCCTCACTCCCTCCCCAACCCACACTAGACAAAGCCACCATTTGACACAGATACACCCCCTCCCCCCCACACCATATTAGGCATACTTGTGTTTATTAGTTTTTTCTCTGGAGGTAGATAGCATCTTCCTTCATAGGTCCTTTGTATTGATTTAAGTATTTATAATACTCAGAAAACTTTGTTATTCACTTTGTTATTCTTCAAACAATATTGCTGTTACTGTAAACAAAGTTCTCTTGGTTATGCTCATTTCACTCTTCATTATTTCATGCAAGTCTTTCCATACTTTTCTAAAATGAATCTGCTCAACATTTCTTACAACACATAATCATGTACCATGACTTGTTCAGCCATTCCTCACTTGACAGGCATCCTGGCAATTTCTAGTTGTTTGCTACCACAAAGAGAGCTGCTATAAATATTTTAGAATATATTGTTTCATTTGCTTTTTCCCTCATCACCTTTGGAAACAGACCTAATAGTGGTATTACTGGGTCAAAGAATGTAGGCAGTTTAATAACTCTTCGGGCATAATTCCAGATTGCTCTTCAAAGTGGTTGGGTCAGTTAATAGTTCTACCAACAGAGTAGTGGTGTCCCAATTTTTCCATATCTGCGCCAACATTTGTCATTTCCCCTTCTTCCATTTTAGCCAATCTAATAGGTGTGAGATGATATCTCAAAGTTGTTTGTTTTTTTAATTTTATTTTGTTTTAAAATTTATTTAATTTATTTTTAGTTTTCAGCATTCATTTCCATAAGACTTTGAGTTTCAAATTTTCTCCCCAACTCTCCTTGCCCCCCTCCCCAAGACAGCATGCAGTTTGATATAGGTTTTACATATACATTCATATTATACCTATTTTCACATTAGTCATGTTGTAAAGAAGAATTAGAACAAATGGGAGAAACCACAAGAAAGAACAAACAAACAAAAAAAGAAAAAAGAGAGAGAGAGAGCAAATAATATGCTTCAATCTTTATTCAACCTCCATAGTTCTTTTTCTGGATGTGGACAGCATTTTCCATCATGAGTCCTTTGGAATTGTCTTGGATCCTTGTATTGCTAAGAAGAAATGTTTATCAAAGTTAGTCATCACACATTGTGGCTGTTACTGTGTACCGTGTTCTCCTGGTTCTACTCATTTCACTTAGCATCAGTTCATTCAAATCTTTCCAGGTTTTTCTGAAGTCTGCCTGCTCATCATTTTTTATAGCACAATAGTTTTCCATTACATTCATAAAGTACAACTTGTTTAGCCATTCCCCAACTGATGTATGATCTCTTTGGGATACAGACCTAGAAGTGGGGTATTGCTGGGTCAAAGGGTATGTGCATTTTACAGCCCTTTGGTCATGGTTCCAAATTGCTCTCCAGAATGGTTGGATCAGTTCACAACTCCACCAGCAATGCATCTTCTTTAGTATTTATCATTTTCCTGTTTTGTTATGTTAGCCAATCTGATAGGTGTGATGTGGTACCTCAGAGTTGTTTTAATTTGCATTTCTCTGATTAATGATTTGAAGCATTTTTTCATATGACTATAGATAGCTTTGATTTCTTCATTCAGAAACTACCTGCTCATATCCTTTGAGCATTTATCAGTTGGGGAATAACTAGTATTCTTATAAATTTGACAGAGTTTTCTATATATTTGGGATATGAGATCTTTATCTGAGAAACTTCTAAATCCCCTCACCTATTTTCTGATTTCTTTCTAATTTTGGTTCCATTGGTTTTATTTGCATAAAACCCTTTTAACTTAATGTAATCAGGAGAGGATTCTGAGAAGATGGTGGCGTAGGACAGAAAACCTTAAGCTCTCAAATTTCCTCCACAAAAAAAGACTCCGGGACCATCTCCAGTCATCCTGATTTATATCTGGCCACAGTACCCAGATGGCTCTGGAGGAGAAAGTGAGGTTGCTGACTTTGCACAGCCCTCCCTCACTTAAATCCAGTTCACTTACAAGTCATGGCATCACCTTCCTGATGCCACGGTCCTCTTCGAGAAAAGGACAAACAACAACAAATACACAGAACATCGCCTCAGAGCAGCAGAAATAAACATGGAGTAAAGTAGTTGTCCTCCTAAGATATTTTGAGAAGACCTCAGGAACGACCCAGCCTCTGATGGGAAGGTTTGACCTGGGTGAAATGAGAACACTTACAAGCCAACTCTGCAGAATCAACAAACAGTCCTTGGGGGCAGCAGGGCTGAGAGGCAACCTCTGCCTTAAAAACTTTCATCTCACAGACAGCGTGGGGGTCTGAGGGATGAGTAGGAGAAGGGCTGTGGCTGCACAGAGAAGGAGTTAACACACACCTGGTGAGTGCAATAGCATGGGGCAGGGACTTCGCCTGCTGTGGGCATTTGCAGGACAGCAGAGTCCCTGGTTTTAGTTCTGTGGCAGAGAGGGTAGCTGTAGTTTGCAGCCACTGAAGGGACCACAAGGAGCTAGATCATTTGCAGGACAGTGTGGCTGGGGGCCCTTATTGTGACTTAGGGGTGGAGAGGAGAGCCTAAGGTTGGTCCCTGAGACAGAGCACAGAAAATATCGATAAGAAGTTGCTGAGGCTTTTGGGGCATCATTCCTCATACCTCAGAGCTACAATTTGACTACACTATTAGCTGCTAAAAACAAAATAAAACAAAAAATATATAAATAAAAATGAGTAAGCGAAGAAGAAAGAACTCAACCCTAGATAGTTACTATAGGGTTAGAGAAGATCTGGATTCATAGTCAGAGGAAGATCATAGAGCTAAAAAAGCCACTTCTTTTTAAATGAGAAACGTCAATGGTCCCAAGCATGAAAAGAATTCTTGGAAGAATTTAAAAAGAACTTTAAAAATCAAATAAGAGAGATTGAGGATTAGGAAAAAATAAGAGCAAGAAAATCAAGAAAATTATGAAAAGAAAATCAACCGACTAAAAATAGAGAATAAAAAACTTAAGAATAATTCCTTGAAAACTAGAATTGGGTAAGGGAAAGTCAGTGATATTCTAATACACTAAGAAATCATAAAACAAAATCAAAAGAATGAAAAAATAGAAGAGAAGGTAAAACATCTCATCAGAAAAACAACTGATCTGGAGAATAGATTGAGGAGAAGTAATGTAAGAATATTATAAGGACTACCTGAAAATTGTGATTAAAAAACAGTTTTGATACAATATTGCAAGAAATTATCAAAGAAAATTGCCCTGAAGTTCTAGCACAAGGAGGCAAAGCAGAAATTAAAAAAAAAAATCCACTGATCACCACTTGAAAGAGATCTCAGGAGAAAAATGTACAGGAATATCATAGCCAAGTTTCAAATTTCCCAGGTTAAGGAGAAAATAATGGAAGCAACAAGAAAAAAAAACCAATTTAACTATCGTGGAGCTACAATAGCCCTAGCAGCTATTACATTGAAGGACCACACGTCTTGAAATATTATATTCCATAGAGCAAAAGACCTGGGGTTATAATGAAGGGTAACTTACCTAGCAAAGTTAAGTATAATCCTGAATGGGGGGGGGGAAGGGCATTTAACAAACTCAAAGCCTTCCAGGTTTTTGTGACAAAAACCCTAGAACTTAAGGGAAAATTTGACATAAAACATCCAGGAGAAATATAAGGTAAACATTAAAGAATAATTATGAGGGATTCAATAAGGTCAAATTGTTTACTTCATGTATATGAAAATATTAGCAGTATTCTTATGATTGTCATCATTATTTGGGTAGTTTGAAAGAAAGACATGGACTGAGCTGAGTTTGATGGGGTAATTCTAAAAAATAAAACTGTGTAGAGAGAGATAAAGGAGTAATCTCCTATAAATGAGGCAAAAATTGATACAGAAGAGGCTAGTGTGGGGGGAGGGTGGGCAGTGCTAGAACCTTACTGTCGTCAGGAATGGGTTAAAGAGGGAAGAACATATATCTAGAAGGATACAAAAATCTTCTAAATCCAAAAAGAAATAAGATTGTAAGGGGATATGGTGGGGGGAGAGGATAAAGGATAAGGGATTCTTTGAAGGAATAGGAGGGCAAGGTAGTGGGTAGAAGTAAAGCAGAGGAGTGAGGAGGGTTAGGGTAAATAGGGTGAGAAGGTGA